GTTGGCGGTTATAGTGCTCTGTGGTGGAATTGGGAGTAACTGATAAGCGAATTTCGAAGCCAGAACTTTCATAATAAATATTGAGTGACAGTTTAATGACATTTAGGAAAATTACGAAAAATTTAGACAAATTTAAATAAATTAAAAAGGATGTTTTAGATTATATAGCCATGTGAGAAAAGAAAAAGATGAAATAAATTTTCCTGGAAGTCGCAAAAACGAACTACCATGTTTTTTGAAAATTTCTCGTTTTTCCGACCATTCTCGTAGTATTTTTTCGACGATTTTTATTAGGTTGGAAGGAAAGTAACTGTCCATTTTTTTAATTCGTGAGTAACACAAAAACAAAAATTATCCAAGATTGGCATTATGCATTGTCGTGGTCCAGGACATGCTGACAACATTCGGGTAAATTGTGGATACCATCTCTCCAAAAGCCCGCTGGACGCGACTCAAAGTATTTTTTCAGTCCAGATTTTATCTCATCTACAGTGTTGAACTATTGAACTATTTCCCTCCAGATGACGTTGCATTTATCCTAATAACCAATAATGAAAGGTCCAAATCAGGAGTTTTAAAGGGCGTAAAGAAAAACCGTTCAGTTAAAGCGGCCCATGTCTTACTCGACTTTCCGTGGAACATAGAATCTCGCTTTATTCAAAGAAAGTCAATTTAGTCCTAAGCCGCTTTGGATGGATGGCTGTCCACATTTGTTAACCTACAGACTTGACCTATTAATTATTGGTTATTCGGAGATATGCAACCTCATCTGGAGGGAAAATAATTTTACACTGTCGATGAGATAAAAACGGCTTTTTGGGAATACTTTGACTTGCGGTCAGCTGGCTTTTAAGGCGACGGTATCCACAAGTTACCTGAATGTTGTCAGCATGTTGTGGACCACGACGGTGCTAACTGTCAATCTTGGGGAATTCTTGTTTTTGTGTTATTTGACGAATTATAAATGGACAGTTACTTTCCTTTTAACCGAATTCTATTTTAATATACCGTTTCCCAATATTGTACACCTATGAGAATCTTTGAAAAATTGAGAAAGTTAGAAAATGAAATTTAAAATAGGCCCAAAAATACGGTAGTTCGCTTTTGCGCTTCCAAAAAAAAAAGAAATTTACCTAAAACAGTTCGAATTTGCATTTTTCTGATTTCGAAAAAACGGCGAATTCGCGGAGAATTCACCTCCTGACCCAATAAATATGCTCAGAGCTAAAAAATTATTTTTATGTTGGAACACAACCTGGCACGATAAGTGATTGTTGCTACAACGTTTGATGTGGGTCATTTGGAACAAACAAAACAAAAAGCTTCTGAAAAAAAAAGACAAGTGACGAGGTTCTTTTGATGATACCGCCAGATGGCTACCGAAAAGGCCAACTTTTTTGGGCTTTCAATCTTTTATTATCTTCAATATATTTTCAAAATTACACCTAACCTTTGAAAAAACGGATTCGGAGAAAAATGCCACAAAAAAGAATTTCAAAAAAATTGCAACATTTTTTGGACAAGATTTTTCTCTTATCAGTAAAATTATCACAACGAGAAAAAAGGAAAAAATTCCGGTGGTGTAGGTGTTAAGTAAGTGGAATTTGTTTGATGTACAGTTTATCAATCTTGAACAATGGGTGGTACGAATTCATACGTCATCACAAGAACAAGCGAAACGAGAAAAAAAAGGAGAGAATGACACAAAAGTAGTTGTTAGGAGGACAAGGACAGACAACTAGTGTTCAAGCCCATCAAAAAAGTGACAGGTTGTCAGTAGTCGCAATGTCCACAACTATGATTCTGACCTCATTTTCTTTCATGTTGTTTATATATTCTGGTATGGTCATCTAAGAGTCATTATAACCGAAAATAGCGATTCAGAAGATGTTTTAAAACAGAAATTAAGCTTCTAAAAGTTAATTGTTTCTCTGTTGATTTCGTGACTGTTGGAGCTTTTGGTTATGTTGTAATTTTTTACAAAATAGGTCTTGAGCTTGGCTGCCACGTTTTGACTCAATTGGAAAATTTTGGAATGTGTGAAACAGACCTAGATTGAAAACTTTGCATTCATAGCCTTTATGAAAATTTCTAGCTTTTCAGTTATTTGCCGATCACTGAAAGACACAAGCTTCAGACTTCTAAAAATAGTCAAATTAACCGAAAATCAACTGAAGAATACATTGTTATATATCTTATTAACTGTTACTTTTGTGAAATTAAAAGAGTAAAAATTAGAAATTAAAAATAGGAATTAGAAGAGTTCAAAGAGTTAAAAATCGGTTTCTAAAGGACTTAGGACCAAAATTGTGATTTACGAGCGGAAACAGCAAGACCATATATCCGGTAATGACCCTAGCTCTCTTTAGCTCACAAATTATGACAGCTGTCGTATATTACAATTCTTTTTAATTACAAACGAGCTAATTACCCGAAAAGCGGCAGCCCTTACACTAAGGAAGTCAAGAGTCACATCAGCGAGCTCTAAAAAGAGAAGAATGAGAAAGAGAAAGTATTGGAGGGACAGTCTTTTTGGCAAATTTGCATAGAAGGAGATTAGGGAGGGTTGACCTGTAACCCTCTGCCTTTGTGTTCTCTTCCTCCTTCTTCTCCTATCGTTACCAAATTTGATAGTACTAGAGATCAGCTCGAGTGTTTGTTCTTCTTCGCGCATCGATCACCTGCCACGTATCTGATTCTTGCCGTGAGCGTGCCTGTTAGCATATTGTTGCTTTGGCAAACACATACCAACCGGTAGAGCAACCAAAAAATGACAAGACAGATGAATGGTAATTTAATGAGAGTGAAGGGAGAGGAGAGGGATTGGATTGATTGAAAAAAGATGAAATTTGAGATGCCTTCTTTGGAGAAACATGGAGATCTTTCTGAAAAACCAGGACCACTAAAGAACGACTGACCCAACCATCGGATTACATTGCGTAAAAATCTAATGAATGGCGTCATGGTTAGTAAGTTGAAACTTGAGATGTGATCCTAATGAAAACAAATAGAATAGTAAGGATCCAGAAATCATCTGAGCAAACTCTTAAAACTAAAAAAAATTGTTTTTTTCTACCGCAATCCTTCAATAGAACGTCACACTCCACTTGCACTTTGTGCCCAATTATCTCGGTCATTATGTTGGAAACAGGAGAAAACTCTTTTGAATTCATATCAATAATTTATACCATTCCTCATGAAAAAAAGACGAACAAAACATTTTTTTTTTTTTTTTAATTGATTTTATTTTTATCTATGACGTTAGAAATGTGAAAAAAGTTGTTAGTGAATAAAATAATTTTCAGATCAATAATAGCTAAATATGTGCCTAGCATTTGGGCAAAATTCGATGATTTTCAGTATTTCTATGCGATTATCAAAATTTCATTTTTCTTTTCCTTTTCTGATTATTATCATTCCTGATTTTTGAAGTTTTCGAATTTTCAAACATTTAGAGTTTTCTGAACAACCACGCTCAATCACTGAATTATTAAAGCAAAATGAAAATCAACAGAAAAAGCAATTCAGCAAATTTTTGACAGTTACAATAATTTTCAGCTCCAAAAATTTTTTCCCGGAATTCCATTCTTAAACTTTCTCTGGGAATTAGTTTCCGGTTGAAAGTTCATTCCGAAAATGTTTGTACTTTCAAAATGTTCGGGAATCTATCGTTAGAAAAATATTTCTAACATTCAATAAACTCTACAAATTCTACAAAAATAGCACCAACTTCAAAAAAAACCACACCCAAGAAAAAACCCATCTAACTATACCCGGGAAAGCCCACACACAGCCACTTTAGAGGTTTTCGGTTACTTGTAAGACAGTGAAAAAGAACAAGAGATGAGAGATGCTCTGCCCCTGTTTGTCTTGTACCACATTGAATGAAAAAATGATACAGTGCAAATAAAACAAAAGTGGTGAGAGCTTCTTCACCTCGGGCTTTTTTATTTATTTAATCAGATTTTGAATGATTGGTTTCTCATAAAACGTTTCTTATGAAAAGAGAGAATCCAGGAAAAGAAAAAGTTTAATCAAAATACTAGGACAGACACGAAAAAAAATAGATCATCGCGTAGCATTTCTTACGTCTCTCTTCAATTCGTTGTAATAAAAAAGTGAACCGATGAGCGCGACGTCAAAGTGTCAGGTGGCTCTTTTTCAAAACCAATCACTACGCTTACAACTGATTTCTTTTTTCTTCTGCTCAGATTTTTTCTGGGGTTTCAATGACGGCTCGTTTATTTTCACAACACCTCTCGCTTTTTATCGGTTGAGCTATCATTGCTTTTCATCTGATGTGCGAAATTTTTTCCCGCTATTATTTTGTTCAACCAATTTACACTAAGATTTATTGCATGAGAAAAACAGGAAAAGTGTTTTGTGGATCTTAAAATGAAACGAAACGAAAAATGAAAGAAAAACGATTGGTCATAACTTTAATAAGCCACTATAAAAATGGTATTAAAAAGAAAAATGCTTTAGAAATGAAATGTCTTGGAACACACACACACACACACACACACACACACACACACACACACACACACACACACACACACACACACACACAGACACACTTTTCAACTGGATTTTGAAACGACAAAGTGGTGTCCCGGGTATTATAGTTTCGGTAGTATCGACCTTCAGACAATAGGGCACCATGTTTTATTGTCACATTTACCTTTGAAAAGAGAATTAGATTTGAAGGGATACGACGGAAGACTGGGTTTTATTCAAAATGGTAACAAGAAAAACTTATAAAGTTGAAACAGATTGATTCTGCACCAATCTCCAATAAACCCCTCTCAGCTGAAGCAATTCTTCATGTGTTCCTTGTTCGGCAACTTTCCCATTTTTCAGCACGGCTATGGAGTCTGCATTAACAACAGTTGACAATCTGTGAGCCACGACTACTGTAGACAATCTTTCACTAGCAGTGTCTAGAGCATTCTGGACGACTTTTTCAGAATCGCTGTCTAGTGCACTGGTTGCCTCGTCTAACAGCAAGACCTTTGGATCTTGAATAATTGCTCTGCCGATGGCGATTCGCTGTTTTTGACCTCTAGTTGGGCACCTCGCTCACCAACAATTGTGTCCAATCCCTAGAAAAGTAGAATTAAAAGTTTTGATATTTCAGTGAAACCTGTATTTGAAAGGCCAATTTAATTTAAAGGTACGTTTAACGTTCTCTTCCGAAATGTGTTGTTTGAAATTGAACATTTTACAACTTCACAGAAATTTGTTGGACCCCAACTTTTTGCTCTAAAATTTGCTCAATTTTGGAGAAGTGATTCATTTTCATGAATTTTGAATGGAAGTTCGCCGAATTTTTCGATAAAAATTTCGCGATAAATTGCTTATAAAATAAAAGATCCCCCTCCTATTGAAGAGCCTTTGTAATAACAGTGTCCTTAATAGGTACCTTGGAACAATAGAAGGGCCGACTTTTCTAACACAAGTTTTACGCTATCCTGCATTCCTGAAAATCTTACCCCAGGAAACTGTTACACGAAATTGAATGCGTTGGCAATTTTCAAAGCTTTGTCGATTTCCAACTGCGATACATTTCCGCTCAATCCGTACAAAAGATTCTCCACAATGGAGCAGTTAAACAGTATCGGCTCTTGTGAGACTAATTGCCAAGTTGGAACGTAGATGATGTAAAGTAATATCCTCTATTCGTTCATCGTCAATTTTCTGAAAATATCGCTATCAGATTTTTTCAAACTAAAATTCTTACGATTTCTCCATCATCTGGTTGATAGAACCTCTCTAAGAGAGGTTCTATCAAGATTGTTGATTTTCCGCACCCGCTGGGACCAACCAATGCCAATGTCTTTCCTGGCTCAACTCTCAGGTTTACTCCATCCAAAATAGTTTTGTCCGGACGTTGCTCATAATGAAACTTGAGATTCTCTCCAACAACTTTTCCCAGCTTGATGTTCTTTGTACCGTCTTTAGAGCCATAAGCCATGGTTTCTGGATAAGTGAACAGATGGAAAATCAATCCAGCTGCATGCGCTGCTTTTTTGTAGTCTGGAAGATAAGCTACAGCCGATCCAGCCATAAGCCATAAGTCATAAGTGGAAGTCAATGTGAGAGTCATCGACACCATGTAAGTTTCCATTGGCATAATTTCTTTATGCATCGCAAGCCAAGTTCCGAATTTAAAAGAAATCGAATAGATGTAAAAGAAGCAACAGCAGAAAAAGCCGTTTGCTGCACCCTGGATTACCGCTCGCTTGAAACACGAATTATGGCTTTTTTGCAAATGATCTGCGACCATATCCATTATTCTGTCCTCCATGTTTAGTGCTCGAACTGTTCGGATGTGCTCTATGGCTTCGATCGCTGCCTGAAATCATAAAATTGTTAGTTGCATTCGATAATAATAACAATTACCCTATTGCTATTTTCAAAAGCCAACGTATCCTTCTCGATAGCGCCATCTATTGCTCTTTCGTAACAGTATTCAGCTAAATAGAGAATAGGACACAGAAGAAGGACCTAGAAACGTTTTTCTGATTTTGAAATTTTTTTCAGTTCTACCTGAATGGTCATCTTCCAGCTGTACACCGTAGAAGTACTAATTGCAATTGAGATTGCTACAAAAGTCATAAAAACCGACCCAAGACGATCGTCAACAGAAGCTTTTACATTTGAAGCATCTGTGTTTAGTCGATTTGACAAACGAATTGCAGAATGCTTAGGGTCGTCGTAAAAAGAGCAAGGTAGTGACATTAGATGTTTGAATGATTTCATTCGAAGTCTTGTGGAAAGTCTTTCAGACACTTTTCCAAGATAGTAGTACTGACAGCGAAGTGTGATTGGGCGGAACAATGCGAGTAGGAGTATGGCGAATGCCCAAAAGTGCCCGTAGATCATAATATCTTCTCCATTCATGGCGAAGGCCTGATCATATTTTTATTTATTGATTAACTGACACAGTGTAACTCACTTCATAAGCCCTCACAGTCAGTTTTACCGAAATCTGATAGCTCAATCCTTGCAAAGCACTTCCTGCTAGTGCAGTCAAAAATAGGCAATAGTCAGGTTTACACATTTTGATGATTTCTCGAAGGTTCGATTTTTGAGCACCCTCCTCCGTGAGCTCATTCATAAGACGTTTTATCTCATCGTCTTGGGCTTCGTTTGTTTCAGAAAATTCTGTTCTGCTAGAATCTTGACGAGCTGAAAGTTCCTGAGAACTGTGATCTAGAACGTTGCCTGAAAATTAAAAAATTTGTCATTTTCCAACTTTTTTAGTCTGACTTGGTTGAACATGAGCTGGCCAGATCACTGTAGACTCCTTGCAACAAAATTAGCTTTTCATGATTACCAACTTTAACGATTTCTCCTTTATCCATCACAATAATTTTACTAGCGTTTCTGATTGTTGAGAGACGATGAGCAATGACAATCGTTGTTCTTCCTTCGGATGCCTGAAATGCGAACAAATAATTAGGTTCTAAAAAAATTGATCACCTTTTCCAGAGCTCTCTGCACTACATGTTCACTCTCATTGTCCAGAGCACTGGTCGCTTCGAGAAGCAAAATTTTTGGATTACGGACCAAGGTTCTCGCAATAGCGATCCGTTGTTTTTGTCCACCCGACAGTTGAGCTCCTCTTTCTCCAACAACACTTTTGATTCCTTTCGGGAAAGAGTTCACAAAATCATAGGCATTCGCCTTTCTCAAAGCTTCGTAGATTTCGGAGACAGTAGCGTTGGGATTTCCGAACAGGATATTCTCCTCAATGGTTGTTTTAAAAAAGCACTGGTTCCTAAGACACCACTCCAATCACTTGACGAAGCTGATTCGAATGGATGCTATCTAGTTTCACTCCATCTATCAAAATATCTCCGGAATCTACATTATAGTAGTGTAGAAGTAATTGAACTACAGTACTTTTCCCACTTCCACTGGCACCAACAAGTGCTATAGATTCTCCATGTTTCACTTCGAAAGATATTCCTTTGAGGACTGGAGCCTCAGGTCGGCTTGGATAGACAAATCGGACACTTCTAAAGGAAATATTACCTCGGACATTGTCAAGATGATTTTTTGAGTCATCATCTACTTCAATCTCATTGGTATCCTAAAAAAAATAGCAGGGTTTACAAAATCAATGGGACATTCTCACATCTAATAGAATATCAGCAATAGGTGAAGTTGAAGAAACTGTACTTGCAAATTTAGATAAATGAGGAGTGGCTTCGTTCAAGCAGTAGGATCCAAGTAGTAAGAAATTATACAGCCTAACAACAATGGAAGCTGAGAGTTTCCTTTTGTAGATTATATTCGCTCCAAAATAGATGATCACAGTGTTCAAAGCATTGATAAAGAAAAAACACACTCCTCGAGATGCCGAATTGTAAAATGCTTTGCGGAATCCATATCTCTCCCCTGCTTTCAATTCCTCTGAATATCTGTGAACCTCCTGTTGTTGCCCAGTCAGGGAGCAAACAGTTTTGAATGCTCCTAGAGCTTGAAAGGCTATGGAACCTGCATTTGCATAATGTTTTTCCTGTTTGCTAGTGATTTCCATTTAAACTTGATAGAAACTGCCAAACTTATTTTTTAACATAATCAGAAGAACATAATCTTATCAACGGCTTGAACGGATTTTTGATTTAGGCCCTAGAATCAAAAATATTTACGATTTTCCGAGCCTGACCCCTTTTTTTGGTGAAGTGTGACATGTGACAGGGCACATCTATAGTTAATCTTGATGGAAATAGCCAGACTCTTGTTTAAACATGATTAAAATGACAAAATCTTATCAACGGCTTGAACAGAATTTTAAATTAGGCCCTAAAAATAAAAATATTCACTGATGATGGGACACCTTTTGTTTTTGATCATAACTTGAGAACGAAGAAAAATATCGAAAAACTGTTAACGCCATTCGATTTAAACTTAAAAAATACTATTAGAAAAATGTTATTGGTTTGTTTCGTATCGTGAAAATAGGTGAAATGGAAAATGGTCGATTTCGGCTGTCCGAAGCTGGAATATCTTTCGGAAATCGTTCATTTAACCTACTTTCACCACAGGGACCAAGTTGATTCCACTTTTTCTATGTTATTGTTTCATTTTAAATTGAATGGAAATACCATGACTTCCCCCGGGGTATTGATATGTTTCTATAGTAAATCAAATGTGTTGAATTCAATGGTCGTAATGAAAAGAAAAGTTAACCTAGGATTTTTGAGATATGAAAATTTTTTTTGAATTTTTCAAAAAATCAACAATCCAATCAATAGGAAAAAAATTAAAAAATTTTATTCTCAATTTTTCAATCAATTGTCTATCTACTGTTTTTTAAATTTCAACAAACGGACATAAACTGACAAAGTTATGATTTTTTGAAAATTTAGGCATTTTTTGGTACGTTTTGGACCATAACTCCCAAAAGAAATTTTTTACCACCTATTCCGTTTGGAAGCAAAAATAACTTTTTACGCTCCATCCAACCATATAGGTCTCGATTTTTTTCGAAGGTAACACTTGGGAGTCATTCCATGTTAGAGTTCAATGAAACAAAAATCAACACTTCTGCTTTATTGCTTATCTGTTTCTGTCTCAAAAAACTCACTTTTCCATCTTTGACCTGAGCAAATTAATGAAGCAAAAAAACTAGAAATACATCGCTCTAACAAACGTTTGCATATATAATTTCTGAAACTTGGATTACCTTTATTCCCTTTCACCAAACCGAATGCACAACACTAGGCAATCCTAACACATCGGGAAAAAAAATGACGCGAGAGGGTCGTCGCCTTTTTTATTTATTTATTGTGTTCTCAAAGGTGTTTCTTTGAACTTTAGGGATGTATATTTTATTTCAAATGACATCATAGGTAAGATCCATGACAAAAAAAGTTATTTCTCCTGTTTTTGAATCAGTCTCCAGTAGGCGCGTTTGCGGTGTAGAAGTTCTTGGTGAGTTCCTAAATTGTATTTAGAAAATTTTAACTGCTTTTTTGGGATTCTACCTTGTTCCACGACTTGTCCGTTTTCAAATACTGCAATTGAATCGGCATTAACTATTGTAGATAAACGATGAGCAACAACTACTGTTGACAATCGCTCAATGGCAGTGTCCAGAGCATTTTGCACTAGTTTTTCACTATCACTGTCCAATGCACTAGTTGCTTCGTCTAGGAGGAGAATTTTCGGATTTCGTAAAATCGCTCTAGCAATAGCGATCCGTTGTTTTTGACCTCCGGATAGTTGGGCACCGTGCTCCCCGACAATGGTGTTCAGACCCTGAAAACGCTTTAATTACTGTAAGTGTTCTAACCACTCTATCCGTTTTTTCAGCTCGATTATCTTGGTTCTTTCAAAAGATATCAAAAATGCGTCAGCTGCAAAAATAATTTTTGTAATGTTACCAGAATTTTGTTAGTTTACAATTTTCTCGTATCTTTTGAACGAACTGAGATAATTGAGCTCAAAGTGAACGAACCGAGGTAAATGGGATTAATTTTTTTCGAAATCTTACCTCTGGGAACTTTTGTATAAAATCGAGCGCATTTGCTGTCCGTAGAGCTTTCTCGATTTTTATCTCTTCTACTAATTCTTCTAATCCATAGAGCAAATTTTGCCTTATTGAGCAATTGAATAGTACTGGCTCCTGGGCTACCAGACCCAAATTTGAACGCAGATGGTGTATGTTGATATCTTCTACATCTTCATTATCGATTTTCTGAAAACTTGATCTTCAGATTTCTTTCCCCCATAGGTTTTTGCAACATACCACACATCCAGTGTCCACTTGATAAAAGCGTTCGATTAGAGAAATGAACGATGACTTGCCAGAACCACTAGGGCCAACCAGAGCTAGTGTTTTTCCAGGTTTAAGGGACAAATTTACGTTTTTGAGAACCATATGGTCGAGACGTTGATGATAGTGAAAACTGATATTCGATCCTTTCACTACCCCATTCTTAATTTCCATACTCCCTTCTTTGGAGTCATAAGGCATGGTTGCTGGAGTTTTGAGCAAGTTGAAAATTAATCCAGCAGCATGAACAGCTTTTCGGTACTCCGGAAGATACAACATGACGTTCCCAACCATATTCGAAGTGTAGGAGAGAGTTATAAATGAAACATACATGTTCATTGGGAGGATTTCTCTCTGGAGAATAAGGTGGGTGCCAAATTTAAAAGAAGCTGCGTAGAAGAAATAATGACATATAACGGAGAACCCATTAGCAAGACCCTGAAACCATTTTCCTTGAAGGGTGGATTTTTTCTTGAAAAGTACAGTTTAACCTACCAAGGTGATGGCTTTCCAGCGATACTTTTTTCTTAATACTTCCAACTCTCCAATAATCATTGACATGACTTTATCCCCCATATTTAATGAACGGACTGTTTTGATATTGTTCAATACTTCAACAGCAATCTGAAAATTTGATAATTTTGCTTTTTTCTTTTTTCCTTTTTGGGCCTCAACAAACCTTATTGCTTTTCTCAATTAATGCTGAATCCTGCTTGACAGATTGCACAGTTGCATTGTCATAGCATCGTTTTCCAAAATACAAAATTGGGAAAAACAAGATGATCTATAATAAATCTATAAATTTAAAATCCAAAAATCCTTTAGAACCTGAATAGTAAGTTTCCATGAATAATAGCTGGCAACACTGATGGATACAAGAAAAGAGACAAGTGTAGTAAAAATGGTTCCTAGTCTTGAATCTACGGCACCCTTGACATTCGAAGCATCGGTATTTAAACGATTGGCAAGTCTTGTTGGGGAGTTTTTAGATTCGTCGTAAAATGCGCATGGCAAGGACAACATGTGATGAAAGGATTTGATGCGAAGACGAGTTGATAGTTTTTCGGCAACTCTTCCATAGCAATAATGTGTCGTATATGCTGTGATAGGTCTGATGAGGCCGAGGGCAAAAAACATTGAAGCCCAGAAGTGTCCGTATATTAGAATATCTTCTCCTTCCATCGAGTAGGCCTGAATAAGGCGAAGTATTCGATTTTTTTTTGAAATTATTGTTTAATTTTGCTCTTCTAGCTCAATTTTCTCAGTTCTCATCAGAAGTATTAAAAATCCCTAAATACTCTTTTTTCTTTTCCAGAACTGTTACCGATTTTCGGAAAATCGCAATAATTTTAATTGGGGTTTTTAAAAATGTTTTTTGCCTGTTTCCGCAATTTCATGTCGGCTTTTATCTATATTTCAACGTGACTTGTAAGACAAAAAACAACGAAAAGGTAAAAATCGACAGTAGAAAACATATACAGGAAAAAAAGCAAGAACAATTCGAAAAATAAGAATAGGTTAACATCTTTCTGATGCGAATTCTCAATCAAAACAAATTCGCACAAAAATGTTAAAATGTTACAAATTTTCAAAATTTTGTTAATTCTAAAACCGATATAATTAACCCTTATTGTGAAATTAATGTTCAATTTTTTTAAATAAAAAATATGGAATACAAACTTACTTTATAGGTCCGCACAATTAATTGAGCTAGCAATGGAGGCGACAATCCCTGCATAAAACTTCCAATAATTGCTGTTAGCAGCCAAAAGTATTGAGGGCGACACTCATTGATAATTTCCCAGAAACCAGAAGACACTTCCTTCTCTTCTGGGGTATCCGTGAGACTAGCTTGGCTACCCTTGGAACTTTTCCGAAGCGAATTTGAATTTTCTTTTATTTTGTTAATATCCAGAGGATCTTTTTGACTTGTTTGCTTTTCTTCAGAGTCAAAAATCTGAGAATTGATCAAATTGTTGTAGGCGCCAGCTTTTTGAATCAGGTGTTTATGAGCGCCACTCTCGATTATCTAAAATTCTAAATAATGGTCTCATTTTAATTATCTGTTATGCTCACTTGTCCTTGTGACATTACAATAATCTTGTCACAATTATTGATGGTTGAGAGTCTATGAGCAATGATTATCGTTGTACGACCTTCTGACGCCTAAATTGGTGGGGTAAAAAAAGTATTTTGAAATATCCTTACTTTTCTCAACGCCTTTTGAATTTCCCGCTCACTTTCATTGTCTAGAGCACTAGTTGCTTCATCGAGCAGCAAAATCTTTGGATTCTTAACCAAAACTCTGGCAATGGCAATCCTTTGTTTTTGGCCTCCTGAGAGTTGTGCACCTCCTTCTCCAACAATAGTTTCGATGCCATTAGGAAACGAAGCCACAAACTCGTAAGCGTTTGCCTTTTTCAGAGCGTCGAAGATTTCAAATTTCGAACATTCCGGATTTCCAAACCGAATATTCTGTTCGATAGTTGTGTCGAAGAGAATTGGCTCTTGAGATACAACTCCAATATTTCGCCGCAATTTTTTCAGACTTATGTTCTCGAGCTCCACTCCATCAATCGATATACTTCCAGAATCTTTATTATAGTGACGAAGAAGTAGCTGTACTAAAGTACTCTTTCCACTACCACTGGCTCCTACAAGAGCCACACATTCTCCTCTCTTGACTTCTAAGGAAATTCCTTTGAGGACTTTGGCATTCGGTCGAGTTGGATATGAAAATCTGACATCTTTGAACTGTATAACTCCATTTATTGGTTTTTGGTCATCCGGGACATCCTCATTTTCGATATTGTCATCGTTAGATGTCAAGATTTCAAAAATTGATGAAGCAGAAGAGATCGCATTGAGCAGATTGGAAATGTGGGGTAACACTTCTGCCAAACTATAGGCGCTGAGCATCATGTAATGAAACAGCTAAAAATTTTATAGCTAGAAAAATTATCTCTAGAAAAATGAAATATTCTAATCTTACTGTAACAATGCTTGCTTGATCCATAGTTTTGTTGTATATCAATCCTGCTCCAATGTACAAAAGTGTTCCATTCAATGCGCTGCAGAAAAAGTTGGTAACTGCTCGAGAGGTGGCAAAGAGAAGAGCTCTATGGATACCATGTTTTTCTCCAAGCTTTAGTTCAGAAGAGTAGCTGAAAATAATGATGGTTTTGAATTACAGTAAAACCTGTGACCCTCTGTGATAGAAGGGCTCCTTAAAGAATGAGTTGAAAATTCAAATATTCCGTACGTTTTTAGTGGGAAATAATCCGAAATTTCATCTTATTTGTTTCAAAACTTGCTCAATTTAGGTAAAATTGATACACTTTCTCCGGAGGTATATTTTGGAACAAAAGCCGGGCCTTCTAATACAGATGTTACGATATCTATTGATCACTTACCTCTTCAGCTCATAGGATTGGCCATTCAAAGATATAACAGTTTTAAAACAGCTCAATGCTTGATAAGCAATGCCTCCCGCATTGGCATAGTGATAACTTTGTGCTTTACTGGCTCCCATCATACTTGTAGAATTGATAAGCCCAGAAAAAGCAAGACCAACTGCGAAAAATAATCCGTATGAAGCAAGTTTCCAATCGGTATAAAAGGCAAGTGTGGTCCCAAGAAAAACATTAGTAGATAAGTGAATGATTGTAGCGAGTTTCTCGTTGAAAACCTCTCGGAAGCGATCCATGTTACTGAGTTTATATTTTTATAGAAGACTATTGGCTCTTTTCTGAAATCGGACGCCCATGAACAATCGGAGACTTGTGAAGAATCTATTTTTGAGTCTTTGATTATTCAGTGAGCCGCCCATTCCAGAAGAAAGTCACTTTTTAAAACTTACTCATTCAGCACAGCTGACAACTGTCCAGTAGATACAGTATCAAAAAATTTTGCGTCCTTGTGAAGTAGTTTATGTATGAGTTTACTTCTAACCCGATAGGTGGTATTATCACCGACATATTTGAACAAAGAAAACTGGGAAATGGTTTCTAAAATTGAATGAAAAAATAATCTCACTTGAAAAAATCCAAAAATAAATAAAGCACAGCCCCCTAGAAGAAAACGAATAGTGACTGCATTCATATCAGACTGAAAATCTTCAAAAGATGTGTTGAGGTCAGAATTGTCTGAAATTTAAAACATTCGAAAAATTCTAAAAATGGTAAAAACGTACCCAAAGTCTCATTATTCATTGCTGATGTTATTTTTGAAAATGTCTGAGATACTATTCCATAGTTTTGGTTCATAATCGGCTGACATATTCCAGAACATATTGCAAAAAATAGTGCGAACATGGACAAACACTTCTCAAGGTTAGTAGTACACTCCCACTTAATGTTTTTATTCATTTTGGCTTCCAATTGAGAAAAAAACTCACAATTACAAATAAAAATCTAATGAAATTCGAATACATTTTTACATTGTCTGATGGTGGCAAGAGCACTTTTTTCTCAGCCATACCCGAATTTGAACTTCATATCAGTAGCTGATTGTTCTATTTGTACAGCCAATTGTGACGTAAAGTTTCGAAAAAAACGAGAGACCGAGAAAATGAGTAAGATAAGGAGAAACTGTGTCTCTTCGAAACGTGTGGTCTCTATATCACAGTTCTATGTTAGAAAATAAGTTGAGAACGATTTGATGATGTCATTTCCTAGGAACTATTCATCCTTCCTCAAAAATAAGCAATGATAATTTTTAATTTCTCATGATTTGTGTAAAATTGCGAAATCTCAATGAATTGTTACAGTCACTTCTTATCATTAAATTCTTTGACAATTTTAACTGCAAAACATGAAATTTGATTTGAAATTGTTTTCTTTTTGGGAATTGCTCTTATTTTCCTGGAATAGAAGGCCAATTTCATTTCTTCAAGGTTTTCAATTCGATTTTTTTATATAAATGGCACAAATAGATGATTGTCAATTGCATCCAAATCCAGGTGGTATTCTTTTGTGCAGCTCGTCCAATGAGAAAAGCAATAACCTCCATTTCTAAATTCTTTCATTTATTATTTTATTGTACTTTTGATCCATGAAAAATTATGGTCCTTGAAGGGTGTTCATGTTAAATATACAGTATTGGCGCCTTTCAGAAACTGGTGGCAAATAGCTTTAAAACAAGGAATTATTAAAAAAATTCAGAAAAGCAAAGTTCTCAATCTACCGTAAAACCTGTATTAAAAGCGCCGGCCCTTCTATTGTTCCAAGGTACCTCCGGAGGGCCCTTCTATTACAGGGGCCCTTCAATTAGAGGGGGCTCTTATATTTTACGGCCGTTTTTCCCGGGAATTTTTCATTGAAAAATCGACGAGTTTTCGTTCAAAAGTCATGAAAATCTGTCAATTTCACAAAATTAATCAAGGTTTTGAGCAGAAAAATAGATTTTCAACAGATTTCTATCAATTTGATGAATTCCCGGAATCTTTTTCACTGAAAACGTACGGAAATTCTTTAATTTCATGACTGTTTTAAAGGGGTTTTTCTTTACAGGGGGCCTTTCTATTACGGGGGCCCTTCTATTACAGGGGGTCCATTTATTTTTCCAAACCCCTCTCCGGAAGGACCTTCAATTAGAAGGGCCCTCCTATTAAAGGGGCCCTTCTAATACAGGTTTTACGGTAGGTCTGTTTTACCTAATTTTCACAGTGATCGGAACCTTGACAGCCAAGCTCCAGACTTTTGAAAATACCAAAAAATCAACTGAAAAATACTATTTTGTATGTCTTATTGACCGGTATTTTCATGTGAACACTTTGTAATATCCATAAAATTCTTTATTTTAATTTATTTTCAAAAGTTCAGTTCTGTGATGCCGTTCATTTGTGTTCTTTGCAGCGTCATTTGGCCATCGAAGCAAAGCTTGATGAATTTCGGAAGAAAGGAAGGAAGTTTTTTTCTGAAATTTTTTGTTTTTTTTTCATAAATTGAAAAAATTGAGCTAAAAACACTATGAAAAAAATTGTAAACTCACCGTTTTGTCAGTTCTCATAAAGACCACCTCTCAATAGAAAGGGAGGGAAACGAGAAACAGGAATATCAGAAAAATCAAAATTTAGGATCCCAATCGGGGTTCCATAGAAAGATATTGAATGACTCAGACTTCGCAAAAGGCGTCCTGAGACTATTCCAGTCTAAACAAGCCACAAAGATTTGCTTAGATCTGACCAATCTGCTCCACCTTCAGAGAAAACATCGAATAGCAATGAATTAGGGAATCTCCTGGAGCCTTTTATAGGGGTTGTCGTAAGTAGGCGTGTCGTTGTCCTTGGGAAGTCTGGGTTATGTTAAATATTGTGATTTTATGTGAAATCGTTGAAGAGAATACAAAGTGTTCACATGAAAATACCGGTCAATAAGACATACAAAATAGTATTTTTCAGTGGATTTTTGGTATTTTCAAAAGTCTGGAGCTTGGCTATCAAGGTTCCGATCACTGTGAAAATTATGTAAAACAGACCTACCGTAAAACCTGTATTAGAAGGGCCTCTTTAATAGGAGGGCCCTTCTAATTGAAGGTCCTTCCGGAGAGGGGTTCGGAAAAATAAATGGGCCCCTTGTAATAGAAGGGCCCCCGTAATAGAAGGGCCACCTGTAAAGAAGAACCCCTTTAAAATAGTCATGAAATTAAAGAATTTCTGTACGTTTTCAGTGAAAAAGATTCCGGGAATTCATCAAATTGATAGAAATCTGTTGAAAATCTATTTTTCTGCTCAAAACCTTGATTAATTTTGGTGAAATTGACAGATTTTCATGACTTTTGAACGAAAACTCGTCGATTTTTTCTATGAAAAATTCCCGGGGAAAACGGCCAGAAAAAAAGAAGAGCCCCCTCTAATTGAAGGGCCCCTGTAATAAAAGGGCCCTCCGGAGGTACCTTGGAACAATAGAAGGGCCGGCGCTTTTAATACAGGTTTTACGGTAGATTGAGAACTTCAGGCGCCTTCGCGCCCCCGTAGCTCAGCCGGTAGCGGCGCTGTACCCCTGAGCTGCCTGTCATGAGTTCAACCCCTCATGGGGGTTCTCTATGCAAAATATCAGGAAAACTTTTTTTTTGGTGTCTGGCCTCCTTTAAGTGTACCCAAAATATCTTGAAATATTTCAGTTTTCCCACCTATGATTTGTTGAAAAAAGAGTCGTTTTGCACTACGGATCCATTCAAAGAATTCCATTATCCTCCAATGATTCTCAACGGAGATCTATCACCGGTAAGACATTGAGAATGAAAAAACTACGTTTACAGAACTACAAAAGTTACTGTAGTTTAGGAAATGTTCAAGTTTCAGAGCTACGAATTCAATGTTCTATTCCATCACAATTGCACTCAAGGAGGGCTTCGCCGTTGGGCATGTTATTATTCGCCAGAGCCCCTCGTATTTTGTCCTGTTGATGGAGAGTGAGTACAGTGATTCTACAGTAATTTAAAACAAAGGTTTCACATTTTCAGGCAAACGGTTGCGATGGATGTGTGGATTGGGAACAAATGGAATTCTAAAGAGTGTTGGCCTCTGTTTGCTGATCCAATTTTTTGAATTGATGAATTTTTAATTTGATTAATGAATTTTTCGTGTTGCATTTATTTCAAACTTCAAACAGTTTCAAGTTTTACAGAGTGTCCGAATTTCAATTTTTTTGAAAATTTCTATCTTTCCGATTTAAAGATCAAATTTTTGTTGAAAGAGTTTGAACGCCCACGCATTTCTACGAAACCTCGAAAAACAGCTCTAGGCTGAAACTGTCTCTTTGTTAGTTGTTTTTGTCTAATTACTTTTTCATGATGAATGTTTATGGCTAATTGCCATGTCCTTGATTCAAAGAGTATATGTCATTCATTGATGTAATTATGTAATTTGACTTGGAAAACAAATACTAATGAATAAACACATTTTTTGCGTATAATTTAGTGCGTACAAAGAAAGTTAAAAGGAATGAAAAATTAGAGATTATTGGGTTCCTTTAATACTGGCCAAATTTCCTTCTTTCCAAACCACGATCAGCTCTCCAGCATACTCAGCCAGGAATTCTCCACTTGAAATATCTTCTTTGGCGAATATGCCGTATCCTTTCGTCTTTGTATCGCGAAACTCCAGCTTCGGGTTTACATAGCCCTTTGAGACATTTCGGTCATTGCAGAGTTCTCCTGCTGCAGCATCCTTGATAAGTTCCGCCTTTGGTTTTTCATTGCCTTTCGTATCCTTTAGTTATTGTGCCTCGACGCTCCAATTTAGGGAAAGGAATATCACAAAAATCAAAGTATAAGGATCCCAATAGGGGTTCCATAGGGAGTCTTAGAAGGGGGGGGGGGGGATATTCAGAAAAATAAATAAGTAGAATCCCAATCGGGGATTCATTGAGCGGTATTGATGAATTCCTAATGGGGTGTAGATTGATCCAGAATGGCTAAGACTGACCAAAAGGCGCCTGAGACCATTCCTGCCTAAGACAAGTCTAAAAAACTTTCTAGGCCTGATCAAACTACTCCGCCAATCGAGAGAACATCGAATGCCAATGAATATGGGAGTCTGTTGGAGCCTTATATAGGGGCTCTCCAAATGGGCGTGTCCAGGTGAATGGGCGTGGTCTTGGAGGAGGAGGATGAGTATGCGAAGAGAGTGTGGTCCCAGGGAAAGACTTTCTATGACGTACGTTAACGAGATAAATCTACCAAAGCTGGCAATAAGATAATTGAACAATGGACAAAGTGCCCATCAATCTATTTTTATGACCTTTTTGAAGAGTCTCTCCATGTTTTATGACCCTTCTGAAGAGCCCAAAGTATCCTAGAGGGTCATAACATATGCCACCTTACCCAAAAGAACATTTATATATATTCAACAATTTTGTTACTTTTAAAATTGAAAACCAACACACAAAAAAAATTGAATTTTTGAAAACATTTTCCAGCAACCATTTCTTTCGTCAAGTTTGAAATTTGAAAAACGACTGTCATTCTATTAGGTTGGCAGGAAAGTAACCGTCCCTTGTTTTATTTGTGAATAATACAAAAGCAGGATTAATCCAAGATTAGCATTATGCACCGTCGTGGTCCACGACATGTTGGCAATGTTCAGATAACTTGTGGATACAATACCTTCAAAAGCCAGCTAGCCACAAATCAAAGTATTCATTGTTTCCTGTTTTTCACATAAATAGTGCAAAATTTCGTATTCTCTAGATGAGGTTGTATCTCTCCGAATATTTAATAATCTGATAGAGCTCAGTCGGGACTATAAGTAGGTGAGGGAGAGCTTTTTAATTTCTTCCAGTATTACCCGTTATTGATATATTTGCTCCCCTATTTTTCTTTTTCTACCGGTTACATCTTTCCTGTGTCAAATATCTAAATTATCCCGTTTCCCCTCCCCTACTCAGATCGGCTTCGTGAGGGGCATTTTTCTGAGTCTTTCATGTCCTGCCCTCTAATGTTTTATTACACCTGATCAATAAACAAATTAAATTAATTAATCCAGAATTGTCAGAATGTACCGTCGTGATCCACAACATGTTGGCAATTTTCAGATTATTTCTAGGGTAAAACTTGGGAGTCACTATATTAATGCAATATATTTTTGCCGGAGACCTTTTTCAATTTTTTCTAGTTAGTTCAATGTTTTTATTTTTTCAGATTTCCAGATTCTTATATGTTCTCACGTTATTCCGGTGTTTTTTCAGTTGCATTGGTCAGACACTCATTTGAGAATTGGCTAATCAAGATGAGAATATGCCAATGGGAAAATTGTCATACTTTATGACCCTCTTGGAAACTATAGACTCTTCGAAAGAGTCATAAAAGACTCTTCAGAAGGATCATAAAAATAATTGCTGGGCACTTTGTCCATTGTCTTATTATCTAATTGTAAGTACTTGGAGATTTATCTTGTTACCGTATGTCTTAGAGTGACAGTCAAAACTCAAACTTGATGAAAAAAGTCTTCCGGGGAAAAATGTTTCAAGAACTCGAACTCACAAAATTGCTCTAAAATAGTTGAATAAATGTTTTTTATGTACAATTTTCTCAAATTCTCCGATTTGCAGAAAATTTCAAATGCTGTTATATTTTGTTACATTACTAAAAAAATAAATTTTTAAAAATTTGATTGAAAAAAAAGTTTTCGAAAAAAAAAACAAAAAACAAACAGTTTTAAAAACTTCCAAAATTTTTTGAACTTTCAGCTCCAGATTTTTTCAACATTTCAGATTTTCAGATTTTTTATCTTTGAACGGTTTTCAGGTGTTTTTTAGTTGCATAAGTCGCAAATCTGGAATAGGCTAAGTAAGATAAAAATATGATAATGGGGAAAGTGTCACATTTTATGACCCTTTAAGATACTATAGACTCTTGATAGTGCCATAAAAAATAATTGCTGGGCACTTTGTCCATTGTCTTGTTACTTTATTTCCAGCATTAGTAGATTTACCTCATTAACGTACATCATATTAGGTTGGCAGGAAAGTAACTGTCCATTTTTCATTAGTAAATAACACAAACACAAGAATAATTCGTTCCCATACCAAAAAAGGGTTCTCCTTCATCGCCCGAAAAATATCGCCCCATTTCGCTTACTGACCCATTCGCTCGAATTTTCGAACGATTGGTATGTGATCGCATCAAATGGGAATTCCTCCATCAATTCAGTAGTCTTCAACATGGTTTTCTCTCCAACAGATCCTGCACCACCTCTCTAGTTCAATCTTTTTCGAATTATAAAGCTACTCTTTTGAAATACAATACACTAGACGTCGTCTTTTTCGATTTCCGCAAAGCTTTCGACCAGATACAACATCAACTTCTCATCCAGAAACTTTCTAGCTTTGGAGTCCCTAAATCTTACGTAGCTTGGTTCTCCTCGTTTCTCTCTGGTCGAACGTTCTCTGTCAAAATCTATGATTTTATTGGACCCCCTTCCTCTGTCATTCCCTCTGGTGTTCCTCAAGGATCAGTCTCCGGTCCCTTACTATTTCTCATCTTCATCAATGATCTGCTCTTAAGACTTGAACAAATCCCCTCTCTTCACCTTGCCGCCTTTGCTGATGATATCAAATTGTATTCTCATGACCCAATCGCCCTTCAAACTGGTATCAACATGGTTGTAAATTGGGCTACCGCCAACCATCCCCCTCTTGCCCACTCTAAAACTGCCCTTCTTCGCCTAGGTTCCCATAATTCTTCCCATCCTCTCAATATTGCGGGTGTCGCACTTACTCCCTCCTCCTCCGTCCGGGACTTGGGACTCATTACTGATTCCTCTCTCAAATTCTCTGCTCACATCAACAAAATCACATCTTTAGATAAAGATTCAAAGATAAAAAATCTGAAAATCTGAAATGTTGAAAAAAACTGGAGCTGAAAGTTCAAAAAAATTTGGAAGTTTTTAAAACTGTTTGATTTTGTTTTCGAAAACTTTTTTTCAATTCAAATTTTTAAAAATTTATTTTTTTAGTAATGTAACAAAATATAACAGCATTTGAAATTTTCTGCAAATCGGAGAATTTGAGAAAATTGTACATAAAAAACATTTATTTAACAATTTTAGAGCAATTTTGTGAGTTCGAGTTCTTGAAACATTTTTCCCCGGAAGACTTTTTTCATCAAGTTTGAGTTTTGACTGTCACTCTAAGACATACGGTAACAAGATAAATCTCCAAGTACTTACAATTAGATAATAAGACAATGGACAAAGTGCCCAGCAATTATTTTTATGATCCTTCTGAAGAGTCTTTTATGACTCTTTCGAAGAGTCTATGTTTCCAAGAGGGTCATAAAGTATGACAATTTTCCCATTGGCATATTCTCATCTTGATTAGCCAATTCTCAAATGAGTGTCTGACCAATGCAACTGAAAAAACACTGGAATAACGTGAGAACATATAAGAATCTGGAAATCTGCGACGGTGCATTCTGCTAATCTTGGATTAATCCTGCTTTTGTATTATTCACAAATAAAACAAGGGACGGTTACTTTCCTGCCAACCTAATAGAATGACAGTCGTTTTTCAAATTTCAAACTTGACGAAAGAAATGGTTGCTGGAAAATGTTTTCAAAAATTCAATTTTTTTTGTGTGTTGGTTTTCAATTTTAAAAGTAACAAAATTGTTGAATATATATAAATGTTCTTTTGGGTAAGGTGGCATATGTTATGACCCTCTAGGATACTTTGGGCTCTTCAGAAGGGTCATAAAACATGGAGAGACTCTTCAAAAAGGTCATAAAAATAGATTGATGGGCACTTTGTCCATTGTTCAATTATCTTATTGCCAGCTTTGGTAGATTTATCTCGTTAACGTACGTCATAGAAAGTCTTTCCCTGGGACCACACTCTCTTCGCATACTCATCCTCCTCCTCCAAGACCACGCCCATTCACCTGGACACGCCCATTTGGAGAGCCCCTATATAAGGCTCCAGCAGACTCCCATATTCATTGGCATTCGATGTTCTCTCGATTGGCGGAGTAGTTTGATCAGGCCTAGAAAGTTTTTTAGACTTGTCTTAGGCAGGAATGGTCTCAGGCGCCTTTTGGTCAGTCTTAGCCATTATGGATCAATCTACACCCCATTAGGAATTCATCAATGTCGCTCAATGAATCCCCGATTGGGATTCTACTTATTTATTTTTCTGAATATTATACTCTTTGAATCAAGGACATGGCAATTAGCCATAAACATTCATCATGAAAAAGTAATTAGACAAAAACAACTAACAAAGAGACAGTTTCAGCCTAGAGCTGTTTTTCGAGGTTTCGTAGAAATGCGTGGGCGTTCAAACTCTTTCAACAAAAATTTGATCTTTAAATCGGAAAGATAGAAATTTTCAAAAAAATTGAAATTCGGACACTCTGTAAAACTTGAAACTGTTTGAAGTTTGAAATAAATGCAACACGAAAAATTCATTAATCAAATTAAAAATTCATCAATTCAAAAAATTGGATCAGCAAACAGAGGCCAACACTCTTTAGAATTCCATTTGTTCCCAATCCACACATCCATCGCAACCGTTTGCCTGAAAATGTGAAACCTTTGTTTTAAATTACTGTAGAATCACTGTACTCACTCTCCATCAACAGGACAAAATGCGAGGGGCTCTGGCGAATAATAACATGCCCAACGGCGAAGCCCTCCTTGAGTGCAATTGTGATGGAATAGAACATTGAATTCGTAGCTCTGAAACTTGAACATTTCCTAAACTACAGTAACTTTTGTAGTTCTGTAAACGTAGTTTTGAAAACAGCAGTTTGGTTTTTTCAAACGCTTTTCTAATCCAATTGAATGTAAACTTTTTCAAACTATTTAGATCGGAACGAACAAAGTCAAAGCATTCTCAATGTCTTACCGGTGATAGATCTCCGTTGAGAATCGTTGGAGGATAATGGAATTCTTTGAATGGATCCGTAGTGCAAAACGACTCTTTTTTCAACAAATCATTGGTGGGAAAACTGAAATATTTCAAGATATTTTGGGTACACTTAAAGGAGGCCAGACACCAAAAAAAAAGTTTTCCTGATATTTTGCATAGAGAACCCCCATGAGGGGTTGAACTCATGACAGGCAGCTCAGGGGTACAGCGCCGCTACCGGCTGAGCTACGGAGGCGCGAAGGCGCCTGACGACCGATGGTCTACATAAGCGCGGCGCGATTTCGTCTCCCGAACTGTCCCCCGAAATTTTTGCTGTCTCGCCTCCTTTAATAATACGTATTTGTTTTTGTTTTCTCAAAAAGAGCTTCAGAATGGGCTTATCTATAATTAATCTCGCCTAATTTCAACTTCTCAGTGAGCTCATTTTGAAGCTTACGACGTGGAAAAATTTAATTTTCAAACCTCACACCAAAATTTCACCTTCCTTTACCAAAAAACTCACGTATTATCCTTGAATTCACATCGAACTTGATATTCCAATCGGATCGGATTTGATCAGAGAAAATCCCAGAAAAATTAGAAGAAGAATGCGATGGAAAATTATTTCCGATTTCTGAAAATTTTTCATCCGAAGGGAATATTTATAGGCGAAAATTTTTTCTGAAATTTCCCAGATCGTAAAAATTCCAAATGTTGTGAAACTGGAAAAACTGTGAGAATCTCAAATTTATTGGGAAATTTGATCTTTTGATCGGAAGAATCGGAATTTCAGAAAATGTTCAATATAAAAAACTTATTTATTGAAAACTCTAAAAAATAATTCTAAAAATCGTTAATAATTGATGTCTCTGCACTTCTTATTATCTCCAATTTCGTGGACAGTGCCGTTGAAACTGGCACTGTGTCTGAACAGAGAATGAACAATCAGACAAAATTTTTCGAGTTTTTTTCCTTCAAAACTTGGCTCAAAATAGTTCAACTGTGAGGATTTTGGTATCGGATATTGTATGCTTAGCAACGTTTGGAGCTGAGCATTCGAAATCGCAAAGTTCCTAGAGACGTTCAAAAATCTAAAATCCGGCTAACAAAAGCATCGTTTCGAAACTTTCAAGTTTTCGATGCTCGAGAGTTTTTGATAGTGACTCTATTATTACTTGAAGCACTGTACGAAACAGGATCTATTGGAAGTTCATCAATGTGTTTCTATGGATCCTCGATTGGGATCCTAATTCTTAATTTTTCTGATATTTATTCCCTTTTTCCTCCGATCCCTTCACTCTTCGATGTTCGTGCCAATGAGAAGGTCACCTATGAGCACATGGCAATGAGAAAGAGGTTGAGCTGATCAAGGATGCTGCAGCAAGAAATCTTTGTGATATCCGCAACGTATCCAAGGAATTTCACAACTCGAAGCTGGACATGATGACTGAAGACTACGGGATCGTAGCCTAAGAAGATATTTCAAATGGAAAACTCCTAGAAGAATACGCTGCAGAACTGATCGTGGTTCGGAATAAGGAAAACTTAGCCAAAACTGAAGGAACCCGATAATCTCGAATTTTCAATTTTATAACTGTTGTTCGTTGCACGCAATAAACTTTACATGTTCAAAAATTTGTTCGTACCTGAATATTCGTTTTCGAAGACAAATACCATCAATCATATGGACATATTAGTGTAAGGGTCTGCAAGACCCTTATTACTCGAGTTTTGATTTTAAAAAACTCACTTTTGATATCAATAAATCTTCATCGCTGAATTTGCCTTGAACTTTTCTGAAAAGAAAATTTTTTTTGACGATTTATCAATATTAAAATTTTAGAAATAATATACGAACCTTTTGTTTTCATTCCATCTAGCGAACAGATTCAATAAGTAAATCAGCAATGTGCCAATCGAACCAAATCCAAGCAAAATAAATATTGTAAGGGTCTGCAAGACCCTTATTACTCGGTTTCCCATGTAATCGGTTCTACTGTTTCTAATCTGATTCCTTAGCGCCACGACGTGCCTTTCTCTCTGGACTTTGCCCCAAGAGTCATGAAATACCATTCTTACATGTGACATATTGGCTCTAAGAGATCAAGATAGAGATTCCCAATCCTCCGACTGCAGAAGCTCTAGACAAGGGCTCTCCAAGATCTACACCATCTCTTATTAAATTCCTCATTTTCCATTATCTATTTGTCAACATTTCTGTAACCCCGCCCCAAATTCCATTTATTCCCCGTTTGTATATAAGCCCATTCATGTAACCCTAGAGTCACGATTACACCTTATTCTTTTGTACAGCGCACAAGTCGCCCTTTTCCCCTAAACCAAACCTAAGATTAGAGAATAAACCTATTTCATATTTATGAACTCTTATTTTAGATTCTTTAAATAAAGACATGACAAGTATCCATAGAAACTTCATCATGAAAAAAGGTACTTAAAGTAGGTATCTGTCAAAAAAGACAGATTCATTGAAGAGCAGTAGTTTGGGATTGTGTATAATTGCTTGAGCAAAAACTATTCTTTTTTTTTGCCTTCCAGATAGTAGAGCACCTCGTTCTTTTTTCTAGTCCTCAAATTATCTGAATGACCGTTTTACTCTAATAAAGTTATATGAGAACACTGTTAAAACATACAGTAGGCATTTGTGAAACAATTTTTACAGGTTAGAAGTTTCAAGTTTTCTTTGAATATCTAGGTCATTTTATAGTCCATCCGAACAGAATTCTAGAATTGAAAGAAAATTCTAGAATTCTAAAACAATGCTGGTTCCTGGATTACCAGAGCAATGAATTTCGAATTTCATTCAAATGAAATTTGATCTTCTAAGCGAAAAATCTGAGTTTTCGAGAACTTGAAATTCTGAAATCCTGAAAATTTAAAACAGTCTGAAGTTTAAAAAAAATGCAATGCGACAAATTCATTAATTCAAATGGTAGATGTATCAACCCATAAGTGGCCAGCACTCTGTCGACCTCCCTTTATTTCCAATTTCCACATCCATTGCAGCCGTTTGCCTAAAAATTTCAAAACCATTTTTTTAGGATTAATGTAGAATTACTGTACTCACTCTCCCTTTACTGGAACAGTTGCGAGGGTTTCCGGCGAATAACATCGCCAAATAAAGGGGATCCTTCCTTCGCCTTGAGTGCAATTGTGCCAGAATAGAACATTGAATTCGTAGCTCTGCAATTTGAAAAATTCAAAAAACTACAGTAATTTTCGTAGTTCTGAAGAAATATTTTTGAAAAAAGCAGCGCCTGTTTTGACTTGAGAAGCGTTTCAAAACAGGCCTAATCACAACTTTTCATCGCTTATTTCAATTTTTCAGTTGCATCGCGGCCGTGCGTCACCTGTCCAAGCGGAAATTTCAAAATGAGCCTGGCCGTGCATGAGTTTTTTTTTGATGCGCCGCTCAAGTCCAATCTAATGAAACAGTTTTTAAAATGTTTCTATAGGAATTGACAAAGTTAAAGAATGCTCAGTGTCTTACCGGCGAGAGATCTCCATTGAGATTTCTTGGAGGGTAGCGGAATTCTATGAAGGGATCCGTAGTGCAAAACGACTCTTGTGTCAAGTAATCATGAGTTGGGAAACTGAAATATTTCGAAATAATTCTTGCTGGAAAGTTAGCAATTAACGTTGCCCTCCCGGACCAAAAAACCCACGTATTATCCTCCTCATAGACAGTCAAATTGGCACACCAGTTCACATTGAATTGGCATCGAACATTTAGAGATATATTAATCGGATCGGATTTCATCAGAGAAACTCCGAGAAGAATTGGAAGTAGAATACGATGGAAAATCATTTTCGATTTCTGGAAAATTTCTCTCTGACGGGAATTTTTATAGGCGATTTTTTTCTGAAATTTCCCAGATCGAAAAAATTTGAAAATTTGGGAAACTGGAAAAACTCTGGGAATCTCAAATGTATCGGGAAATTTGATCTTCTGGTCGCAAAAATCGGAATCGGAAAAAAATTTTAAGCTATCATGAAATTCCAAAAAAAACTTCTAAAAATCATTGCTGATTAGTGTCTTTGTTCTCATCACTTCCAAAATCGTTGACGCTGTCGTTGCTGTAACTGTGTCTGAAAAAATTTTTCCTATCCAAGACTTGGCTCAAAATAGTTGAGATTGGATGATTTTGGTATGAAATTGTCGTATTTTTCATGCTGAGCAATGTAATGTAATTCATTGCGAACCATTTAGAACTGATAATTTTGAGATCGTTAAGTTCCTAGAGATGTCCAATATCAAAAATCAAACTAAAATATTTCTATTAGTCGGCTTATAATTGCTCAAAATTGATGATTTAGAAATACTGTCTTCAGATCCAGTTAGCCATGAAACATAATGCACACTCTAACTCAAAAGGAATACCGAGAAATCTCCTCTCCTCCTCCCTTTTTAATTGAAAGTAATTTTTTCTCAAAATTTTCACATTTCATTTTTATGCTCCTTCAAGATATTGTCGGATTAAAAAAAGTGACACGTAAAAATCTCGGAGACGGCGCTCGTGTCGATTTACGAAGGGGCGGAGCGAAAACGGATACTGTAGATAACAAATTTATTTATGTGAATTTAGTGAGATTTTCTGAACAAAATTTTGATTTCTTGGTCTAAAAATGATCGTTAGCATCTCTAGAATCTATTTTTCAGCAAAAAAACTAAATTTAAACGCGAAAGTAGCTCGAACGGAAATATTACGTTTTTGCCGGACCACCTGGACACGCCCACTTAGATAGACCCTATATAAGGCCCCAGCAGATGCTCAAAATCATTGGCCTTTCTATGGAACCCCGACTGGGATCCTAATTTTTTTATATTTTTCTGATATTCCTATTTCTATTCCCAATGGCGAGTTTCTGGTAATTCTCAACACCCACTTATGTTGCCTCCGACTCAAAGGTCCCGACGGATTTCAAGATGACCAACAATGCGGGATCAGAAAAAAGAGTGAAACTGACTGCCTCCGACTTCGACATCATCTCAACTCGAAATTTCTCAAATCCAATGTTCGATGACCGGAATGCAGAAGACAGTGAACAATTTTTTGGATGGATGGATTTGCTAGAAACCACACAAACTCGGAGGTCGCTCACAATTATGTCTTCACGTTTTCCAACAGAAAAAACACGGAACTCTTCAAGGGAACTGAGACAACCTATCGACAACAACGTAAGCTCCAAATTATAAAACGCTTGTCTTTATCATTCATTGATTTTCAGAGTCGCGGAAATGAAACCAATATCTGATGTGAGTGTGGAAGCTGGAGTTGCAGTGGATTGGTTGGCAAGATAGAGAATGTCCATGTCAAAAAAAGCGGATCAAAGAAGAGAAAGATAGATGCTCTTTTGAAATTGATTTGAAGAAAGCTAGGTCAAGAAGAGAAGATGCTGATTCGACCAATGTTTTAAATGTTCTAACTTGTGAAAATTGATTGAAATAATAAAAATTACGAATAAAAAAAAAAGTTCAGACGAAAACAATATATTCAACATGAACGCCATTCATTTTTCAATAGAGCTGTACCAGTCGGTTTGAGCCCGCTGCCGGGGGCTCAACCTCCTGGTTACCGCTTACTGTATCTTACACTGGAATTACTAATTTCTGAATTTCCCACTTTCGAGCCCGATACTTCGAAATATTTAGATTTTCAAATTTTAGATTTTTCCAATGGGAGTCCTCATCTATCTAATGACCGTCTCTGATCGCTACCCTGGCCAGGCCGTTTGTTTTTTGGTTATTGAAGGCGTATACAGTTTTCTGATTTTCTGAAGTTCGAATGTTGAACCAAAAAAAAACTAAAATTTGAAAAATACCAAGAAAATTTTGGAATTTTTCGGAAATTTCTGGAAATTTCTAGAACGTTCTGAAACTTTCTAGAATCCTTTGGAATTTTCTTGAAATTTCTTGAACTTCCAGGATTATTCTAAAAATTTCTGGAGCTTTCTAGAATGTTTCGGAACTGTCTAAAACGATTTGGAGTTTGCTGGAGTTTTATTGACATTTTCTTGAAATGTTCTGGAATTTCCCAGATTGTTCTAACTATGGTCTCAAATATATAGCTCACCGTCCATTTGAGAGAGATTTTAGAAAAAATAATATTTTTAAACTCAATTCCATGTATCCCTATACAATGTATAGTATACATGCGAAATTTTTTTCGAAAATTGTCACTTCTTGATCACGACTCGATCATTTTCTGAGAAGAGAAGATGATAATTCGATCAAATTAATAACTTTTTTATATTGCTTTAAACTTCAAAAAGGAATTGGAATAAAAATTATGAATTCTACGTAATGTTCAGAAGAAAAAAAAGTATTTTCCATGAAAACCCTTTAGGAACAAACTTTCAGACAAAAGCCATAAATCTTTATATATATGTGAAAATTAGGTATACAATATCTTAACATAAAAAAAAGTAGAGAAACTAAAAATCGTTCATCTGATCTTTAGTTCAATGGATAGAGATTAGACTAATTCTCAATTTGCTTTAATAGAATCGAGTCAAAACTAGCAAAATGTTGTGGTGCATTCTTAACTGCTTTTTTTACATGTGAAAAACCCAACGAGTCCATAAAAAGTTGTTATTTATTTAATTCCTTTCTTTCAATACAAATTAGGAAGCTTGTTTCCGAACCAGTTTCCAATAAGCACCTTTCAATTTGAGAAGTTCTTCGTGAGATCCTGAAACATTAAAAATATGATCACAATCGTTTTGAAATCATCTCACCTTGTTCCACAACTTTCCCCATTTTCAAAACCGCAATGGAATCTGCATTCACAATTGTAGACAAACGATGAGCAACTATTATAGTGGATAATCGCTCACTGGCAGTATCCAAAGCGGTTTGGACCAGTTTCTCACTATCACTATCCAATGCACTTGTTGCTTCATCCAAGAGTAGTAGTTTAGGATTTCGTAGAATCGCTCGAGCAATTGCGACTCGTTGTTTTTGCCCTCCAGATAGTTGGGCACCTCGTTCTCCAACAATTGTGTCTAGTCCCTAAATCAACCAAATCACCAAAAACTTCATAATGGAAGGCTACATTATACTTGCACTTTGAACTCAATTATCTCCATTTTTGGGAAAGATATGAAACTTGTGTCAACAGATAAAATTTTGGTCATATTATGAAAAACATTTCATCAGTTGACAGATTTTTGCTACCTCTTATAGAAATCGAGATATTTGAGTTTTCAGTGCGATGCAGTGTAGGGTGTCATCACATTAGAGACGGTATATGAAAACCTAGTTAAAACTCACATTTGGCATTTGTGAAACAAAGTTGTAGGCGTTTGCAGTTTCGAGTGCTGTTTCAAGATTTTGATCACTTTCTGGTCCATCCAAACCATAAAGCAAGTTTTCTCGGATCGAACAATTAAACAAAATTGGTTCCTGGGATACCAAAGCCAAATTCGAACGCAAATGATGAAGATTAATGTTCTCCACATTTTCATGATCAATATTCTAGAAAACTCATCATAATTATATTTTTTTTCCAGGTCAACTCACAATGTGTCCAGTGTTCACCCGATAAAACATTTCTAGCAGTGAAATGAATGTCGATTTTCCTGACCCACTCGGACCAACCAGAGCCAGAGTCTTTCCAGGTTCAAGGTGTAAATCTACATTTTTCAGAACAAGATGATCAGGGCGTTGGTGGTAATGGAACTTGACATTCTCGGCATTAACGATTCCTTGGCTGATGTTCGTAGTGCCCTGATCGGAGTTGTAAGGTGCTGTAGCTGGATAAGTGAATAGGTTGAAAATCAATCCAGCAGCATGTAAAGCTTTCTTGTAGTCCGGCAAGTAGGAAATCGCCGATCCTGCCATGTTGGATGTATAGGATAGTGTCACCAATGCCAGATACATATCCATCGGAAGAACTTCGCGTTGAAGAATTAAATAGGTGCCAAATTTGAAAGATAGGGCGTAGACAATTTGAGAGCATCCCGCGGAGAAGCCACTTGCAAGACCCTGGAAGTTTGATTTGAATAGATCAAGTTAAAATTGGACACACCAAAAAAAACGCCCTCTTGTGATATTTCCTCTTCAACATTTCCAACTGCCCTGTGACCATACTCATCACTTTTTGCTCCATGTTTAGGGACCGCACAGTTTTGATATTGTCAAGCACTTCAATAGCTATCTAAAAATTAGTACTTTTTGGGGTTTAAAAAAAAAACGTAATGGATACCTTATTACTAAACTCGAATGCTAGGGAATCCTGCTTGATCGACAATACTGTAGTTTTTTCGTAACAATATTTGGAAAGATATAGCACCGGGAAAAATAGAAGGACCTAGAAACCAAACAAATTTTTTGTTTTTTTTTTGCTTAAAACTCAACTAACCTGAATAGTGAGCTTCCATGAGTAGTAGCATGCAATAGTGATCGCTACAATGAATGACACCAAAGTCATTAGGACACTTCCGAGTCTTGCATCTACTGCTGCTTTCACATTTGAAGCATCAGTATTCAATCGGTTGGCCAGTCTTGTTGGTGAATTTTTAGGATCATCATAGAATGCGCATGGTAATGACAACAAGTGTTGAAAGGATTTGATTCGGAGACGAGTTGATAATTTTTCTCCGATTTTTCCAAAGAAGAAATACTGGCAGTATAAGGTGATTGGGCGGTACAGGCCGAGAACGAGAAACATGGATGCCCAAAAATGACCGTTGACCAGGATAGCCTCTCCTTGCATTGCGTAAGCCTAAAAATAATATAGAGTACCGGGCAGTTTTTGAAATAAAACTTTTCTTTCGAAAAAATGTAACAAAAACGAGATACTTTTTTTTCTAATATAAACCCATCCAAATATTCAAATTTGGTCTCAATTATCTCGATTTCTGTGAAAGATATAAAAAAAGCCAACTGATAAAATTTTGGTGATATTCTGGGTGATAATTTGTTATCAAACAAATTTTCGATATCTTTACAGAAATCAAGACAATTGAGCGCAAAGTTGACAATATGGGTAAGCTTCCATTAGATCAAATACTGTAGCCAAACTTGCAAAATGTTTACTCAAATGTCAATTTTTTCTTTTTTGGCTATTTTTTGTTTTGACAGCATTTTTCATAAAAATGAGATTTTTCGAAAAAGTTGAAAATTCAAAAAAAAAAGGATTTCTTATTTTTAGTATAATTGAAGCTTTTCAGAGAAATGCCTCGGAATTTTTTTACAAAGTTAAAAGAAAATGTTTCCTATGCTGTACAAAACAGAGCAAAATAAATCAAAATACCTTATACACTCACTTATGGCTAGTATAATTGAAGCTTTTTAGAGAAATGGAAGCACTCTGCCATTTTTTCACGATTTCATAATTGCCTATTGATCCACCGAAAAAAAGCAAAACAAATCAAAATACCTTGTACACTCTCACTATCAACTGAGCCAGAATGGGAAAACTGAATCCTTGAATGGCACTACCAACAACAGCTAGAAACAACATGCAGCAATGCGAACGGCATTCTCTGAGAATCTGCCATATCGTCGAACTCATGGTTTCTTCCTCCGGTGTATCTTTGAGTTCTTCTTCTAATTCTTCATTAGTCGGATGCTTTGTTTCACTGGTGGCAATCGTTTTGATGCTTTTTTCAACTACCGAATCTTCCGAGTTCAAGGATTGTGCTTGGACCAAGTCTTTGTAAACAATGGAGTTCTCCATCAACTTGTCATGAGTTCCAGATGCCACAGTCTGTAAAAATCTCGCTTCAATTTTATCTGGATGTACAAACCAGTTAACCTTTCCATGAGACATCACAATTATTCTATCACAGTGCTGAATTGTGGATAGCCGGTGAGCAATTACGATGGTTGTACGGCCTTTGGATGCCTGAATCGTTTTTTTTTAAAGATGATACTGTCTTCTGAGAAGTTTGTTACCTCTTTCATGGCAATTCGAACAACATGCTCACTCTGATTATCTAATGCACTTGTCGCTTCATCCAAAAGAAGGATTTTCGGGTTTTTCACCAAAACACGAGCAATTGCAATTCGTTGTTTTTGACCGCCAGAAAGTTGAGTACCTCTCTCACCAACGACAGTTTTGATACCTTTTGGGAAGGAGTTCACAAAATCATAAGCATTTGCAACTCGTAGAGAATCGTAGATTTCCAAAGTAGAAGCTGCAGGATTACCAAACCGAATATTTTCTTCGATTGTTGTGTTGAAAAGTACAGGTTCCTGAGAAACGACTCCAATATTCCCACGCAGTTTCTTTAAGTTGATTTTGTTTAAGTCTACATCATCAATTAAAATATTTCCAGATTCGATATTGTAGTAATGGAGAAGTAGCTGTACAATAGTGCTCTTTCCACTTCCACTTGCACCCACTAGAGCCACACATTCTCCTTTTTTGACATTAAACGTGACTCCTTTTAATGCCTGAGCTTCTGGACGAGTTGGATAAGAAAATTTGACATTATCGAATTGAATATCTCCTTCAATTCGTTCGGAATCACGTTCTGTATCATTTTGATGGTTTTCAATTATATCATCTTTAGAAATTAGTACTGCAAATATAGGAGAAGCTGAGGAAATTGCATTGGATAGATAGGAAATATGAGGAAATGCCTCGCCCAAACTGAATGCACTGAACAGCATGTAATGGAACAACTGCAATAACATTTCTAAATGGGAAAATAAAAAATCATGAAAAAAAAAACTAACCGTCACAATAACAGCTTGATCCATTGTTTTGTTGTATATCAAATCAGCTCCGACGTACAAAATAATTCCATTCAATGCATTGCAAAAGAAATGAGTGACACTTCGAGAAGTGGCCAGAAAAAATGCTCGTCGTGCTCCATATTTTTCTCCTGCTTTTAATTCTTTTGAATACCTGAATTTTTAGTTGCAATTCAGCAAAAATTTGAAACCTTCAAACCTTTCTAATTCTTGCGCTTGACCGTTTAGAGATATAACTGTTTTGAAAGAGCTTAAAGCTTGGAAAGCAATTGCTCCTGCATTCGCATAATGTGTATTTTGTTTGACAGTAGAACCCATCATACTTGCAGAATTGATGAATCCAGAAAATGCAATACCGAGTGCGAATATACTTCCATAGGAAGCCAATTTCCAGTCCGTGTAGAACGCGAGAGTGGTGCCAATCACAAAATCAGTAGAAAAGCAAATGATAAATGCGATTTTTTCATTGAATGCCTCTCGGAATCGTTCCAAATTACTGAAAATAAAAAAGTGAGGGATTGTGATAAGTTTTATAAAACGTTCTTCAAAAATTAAAAATTTTTTGAACGGAATAACTGGATTCTCAAAGAATCTGTTTAATTTTCGTCCACAAAAAACGTTTATTATACACATTTTAAATAAAACACTTTTCTAAAATTTTGGCGCCGTGAAACCGCGCTCCGCTCAACAAAACGTTTACAGCACTAATTTTCAGCGGGGGATACCGTACAATAATTAAAATTTTGCGAATTACCCATTTTTTGAAATATTTTTGCTGAAACCGCAAAAAATAAACTCAAAGTTGACAGTTCAAAGTCATTCCTAGCAGACTACTCACAGTATCCGGATAAAAATGATACTCACTCATTCAAAACTGTTGATAAATATCCAGTAGACACCGTGTCAAAATATTGCGCGTCTTTTTGAAGTAGTCTTGATATGTATTTCCTTCGAACCCGATATGTAGTATTATCTCCAACGTATTTGAATAGGGAGAACTGAAAAATAGTATGACATTATCTGCAAGAATCATTATTATTTTCACCTGAAAAAATCCGAACATTGCAAATGCACATCCAACCAGTGCAAAATAAAGAACAACTTGGTTCATCTCATTGTGGAATACTTCATAAGCCTCATCTAGCTCGGATGGATCTTAAAATGTGTATATTTAAAGAAATCCCATTTGAAACCTTACCTAACGTTCTATTATTCACGGCTGAGGTGATTCTTACAAAAACATGAGACACTTCTCCAAACGTATAACTCAAAAATGGCTGACATAATCCTGTACACACTGCGGAAATCGTTCCTAACAAAAATAATAATTTTTCCAATTTCGAAGTGCATTTCCACTGAAAATTTCCAATTTTTCATAGTTGTAGGGGAGGAAAAAAACTTACAACTACCCGTGCAAAACTTGAAAAGTTAGAATATTCCTTTACATTTTCTGCCGGCAACAGCAGATCATTTTCGTTGTTTTCCATTATTTGTAATCTGACCAGTAGGAATGATTAGTTTTCTATTTCTTGTTTCATTACGTAAAGTTTCGAAAAATAACGAGAAACGACCAATACACACTCTTTAAAAGACATTGTGTCTCGTGCAAGCCAAATATACATCAAAGATCTCTACACGAGAGAGGAAAAAAGAGACTAAAAGAAAGAGATCAAACTAGAGTGATGTGAAAAATTATTTTCTGATTTTTATCGCTTCGAGAAAGTTGTTAGCGAAGATTTTCGCAAGCGAAAATAAAAATTAATTATTCTGAAAAAAATGAAACAGTGAGAACAGAAAAATAAGGTTCAAGTGAAGATGATAGAAACATATGACATGTTTTTTGGAGAGGAAAAAAATATTTTCGAAAAACAAGCGACAACAAAGAACAGATGAAGATAAAATAATAATAATAAATAATAAACAATTATAATAATTTTTTTCGATTTTTTGAATAGTTTCAACTAATCACTCGGTGCCTGAACATGCATTCCTTGCTTCTGCACCAATCCCCAATAGACACTCCTCAATCTCAGCAATTCTTCATGTGTTCCTTGTTCAGCAACTTTTCCATTTTTCAGCACAGCTATGGAATCTGCATTGACAACGGTTGACAGCCTATGAGCAACCACTACGGTAGACAATCTCTCGCTAGCAGTGTCTAGAGCATTCTGAACCACTTTTTCAGAATCACTGTCTAGTGCACTTGTTGCTTCATCCAACAGCAAGACTTTTGGATTCCGAAGGATCGCTCTAGCAATCGCGATTCGCTGTTTTTGACCTCCGGATAGTTGGGCACCTCGCTCACCAACGATTGTGTCCAATCCCTGAAAAAATTGAAAGTTATTCGTGCCTATTCTTAGAACTTTTTGATTTTTTGGAATTTCCGAATTTTCAGGTTTTCAGATTTAAAAAAATCGAATTTTCTAAAATTTAATTTTTTTAAATTTTAGAATTTTTTTTTTAATTTTTTTTTTCGGAAGATTCTGGAACTGTCTAGAATTTCTGAATATATCCCAGTTTCTGAATTTTCTGATATTTTGTAATGCCCGAATTTTCGGAAATTCAGATTTTTTGAAAATTAGAGGTTTTTGAAAAGACTCAAACTTTGGAAGTAATTTTGGGAGTAACTGACCTGAGGGAATTGATACACAAAGTGGAATGCGTTAGCTGTCTGTAGAGCCTTCTCAATCTCTAGCTGCGGAACTTGACGGGTCAAGCCGTACAAAAGGTTTTCGCGAATGGAACAGTTGAATAATGTTGGCTCTTGAGACACCAAAGCGATATTAGCACGCAGATGGTGGAGGTTGATGTCTTCAACGTTTTCTCTGTCGATTTTCTAAATTGACTATTATCTGTCTGAATTTCAAAAGGAAAAACTTACGATTTCTCCATTAGTCACATGATAGAATCTCTCCAACAATGAAATAATCGTAGATTTACCGCAACCACTGGGTCCAACCAATGCCAGGGTCTTTCCTGGTTCGACTTTCAGGTTCACTCCATTTAAAATCATTCGATCTGGCCGTTGATCATAGTGGAATTGAAGATTTTCTCCAACGATTTCTCCCTTTTCAATGTTTTTCCTCCCATCGCTAGAGTCGTATGGCATGGTGGCTGGATAGGTGAACATGTTGAAGATCAAACCAGCAGCATGGACGGCCTTTTTGTAGTCTGGAAGATAAGCAGCCGCACTTCCAGCCATATTCGCTGTCATGGATAGAGTCATCAATACCAAGTAAGTGTTCATTGGTTCGACTTCTTTTCGAAGAGCCAAGTAGACACCGAATTTGAAGGAAATTGAGTAGACAAACAGGAAACAACTCATTGAGAGACCATTAGCTGCTCCTTGAATGATTGCTCTTTTGAAGTAGGAGTTGTGAATCTTCTGAAGGTGGTTGGTGATCGATGACATCACTTTGTCCTCCAAATTTAGTGCTCGCACAGTTCTCACATTCTCCAGTGCTTCGATAGCGGTCTGAAAATAAGAAATTGCGGGTCAACATTCGCGAATGGTGAGAAATAGCTACTTACTCTGTTACTATTCTCAAATGCGATTGAATCTTCTTGAATAGCATTCTCAGTTGCTGCTTCGTAGCAATATTCGGCAAGATACAAAAGTGGGAAGAACATAAGAACCTGAAAAAAAAGTTTGATCATACCGGCTGACATGTCTCTTCCTGGCCGTTAGAAAGCGGCTGATAACTCGTTTGAAAATTAACATTTTGGTCTAGACAACATATAAGATTATAGAGCTCGGCGAGCTATACAACCTCCAACAAGAATCAACCAGCTCGAAAGCGGTATAATGGTCCGGGCCGACAATTTTTTTTTGCCTGGCTATCAAATTGATAGGCCGCACCCCGTTGATGATTTAAATTCTTTATGTTTTTTATTTGAAGTTGTAGAACTTGACAAGCTCTATCATTTGATATGTTGCCTTGCCCAAATTTCCAATTTTGAAGCGGGATAATCACTAAAAATTTAAAATAAGTACCTCCAATGTCATCTTCCAACAGTAATTGGCCGCTGTAATGACAGCAATGGAAATCGCCACCAAAGTCATAATCACACATCCCAAACGATCGTCAACAGCAGCTTTGACGTTTGAAGAATCGGTATTCAGTCGGTTGGACAACTTGGTAGCCGAGTGCTTTGGATCATCGTAGAATGCACTTGGTAATGAGAGCATATGTTTGAACGATTTCACTCGTAGACGAGTAGACAGTTTCTCGGCGACTTTTCCAAAGTAATAGTACTGCAGGTACAATGTCAAAGGTCTGAATACTGCCAAGAACATGAAAGAGAGCGCCCAAAAGTGTCCGTAGGTCAGAATATCTTCTCCATGCATTGCGTATCCCTAAAAATTAACAAATATTTTAGCATTTTCATAACGGTTCTAGTGACAGCATCTTACCTGATAAGTTCTGACGATCAATTGGGCTAGAATAGGGTAGCTGATACCTTGGATAGCACTACCGAACACAGCAAGGAACAAAATACAGTAGTCTGGACGACACATTTTCACAATTTCTCGGAGATTCGACTTTTTGGCTCCTTCTTGAGTAAGCTCATCTAGCAGACGCTCCATATCATCATCATGTACTCCTGCATCAGTGCTGGTGCTTCTTTGGAAGGAATAGCTATGCAATGGGGAGAGCTCGTGGGAGAGTTGTCGAGCGGTGAGGGGTGGGAGTTCGTCTGGAATAATTTTAGCTCTGATATGCTGAACTGAAAACTTTTTTCTCACTATGATCATCATGAGAGTTCAACAATTGTGCTTGGACCAGGTCGTTGTAAGCACCTTGCTTGGAAATCAACTCGTCGTGGTTTCCAACCTCGACAATCTGAAAATTTTGGATTTCTTGACTACAGTAGTCAGGGGTGATGTCAAAAAACTCAAGCTCAAGCTCACCTCTCCCTTTTGCATTACAATAATTTTATTAGCATTTCTGATTGTCGACAGACGATGTGCCACAACGATTGTAGTCCTTCCTTGCGATGCCTAAACTTTTAGATGAAGTTGCTCATTCTTCCGGCTATAGTTATTTCACTCACATTTTCCAGAGCCTTCTGTACTACATGCTCACTCTCATTGTCCAAAGCACTGGTCGCTTCATCTAGGAGCAAAATTTTTGGGTTACGGACCAAGGTCCTGGCGATAGCAATACGTTGCTTCTGTCCGCCAGATAGTTGTGTTCCTCGTTCACCCACAATTGTCTTGATTCCTTTAGGAAACGCACAAACGAAATCATAGGCGTTCGCTTTCCGAAGTGCTCCATAAATTTCGGGTAACGTCGCTTCCGAGTTACCAAATCGGATATTCTCTTCGATGGTTGTGTTGAACAGCACGGGTTCTTGAGAAACTACTCCGATAACTCTTCGAAGCTTCTTCAAGTTGATTTTGTTCAGCTCTACTCCATCGATCAAAATGTTTCCGGACTCAATGTTATAGTAATGGAGCAGAAGTTGGACTACAGTACTCTTTCCACTACCACTTGCTCCAACCAATGCGATGCATTCTCCATTTTTGACATCGAATGAAATTCCTTTTAGTACCTGGGCATCCGGGCGAATGGGGTAGGAGAATTTCACATCTTTGAAGCTAATGTTGCCCTGTACGTCTACTCCGTCTTCACAGTCTTCTTCATCTCGCTCGATTTCATTGTCATCCTGAATTTTTCACATTCATTCATAGTAATCTTTTTTAAAATTTACTGTAGTTAACATTTCAGCAATGGGAGCAGTTGAAGAAATCGCACCAGCTAGACGAGAGATGTGTGGAAGAGCCTCACTAAGGCAGAAAGCTCCAAAGAGCAAGAAATGGAAAAGTCGAACGACAGTACCAGTGTCCAAAGTTCCGTCGTAGATCATATTGGCTCCAAAGTAGAGGACAACGGTGTTGAGAGCATTGCAGAAAAAATAGGTGACACCTCTAGAGATAGAGTAGAAAAGGGCTCGGTACAGACCATACTTTTCTCCTTCCTTGAGCTCTTTGGTGTATCTGAAGATATTGAACATAAAATTCAGTTTTTTTTGTAAATTCCTTACCGTTCAATCTCCTGACGCTGACCATTCAACGAGCAAACAGTTTTGTAGGCTCCTAAAGTTGAAAAGCAATTGATCCGGCGTTAGCATAGTGTGCATTCTGCTTATCTGTGTTCTTCATCATGCTCGCAGAGTTAATAAGACCAGAGAACGCGATACCAAGCGAGAAGACGATACCATAGGAAGCTAGTCGCCAATCTGTATAAAATGCGAGCGCTGTTCCAACAGTGAAATCAGTGGCGAACGCGATGATGAGGGCAATCTTCTCATTGAAAACTTCTCTGAATCGTTCCAAGTTGCTGAAAATTGTAATTATTTGATAAAATTAAGAACATTTTGGTGACTCACTCATTTAATATTGTTGATAAGTGTCCAGTAGACATACTGTCGAAGTAGCGAGCATCTTTTCGCAGGAGTCGAGAGATGTACTGTTTTCTGACACGATAGGTGGTGTTGTCGCCGACGAATTTCATGATAGAGAACTGAAAGTCAGGAATAGTACGAGAATTTTAAATTTAGAAGTGATGGTAGTTCTCAACGTGCATTGATTTCGGATAACAGTAATATTCTCCAGGAAACAAGGGCCATCAAACTTACCTGAAGAGATCCAAAGGTAAAATAAGCGCATCCACAGAAAAAGAAGTGCAAAATTACACTATTCATGTCTCTTTCAAATACTTCGTAGGCTTTTTCGAGATCAGCGGGGTCTGCAATCGAATTTTCCTCTTCAGGCATCTAAATTTCTTGTAAAACTCACCTATTGTTTTGTTATTGATTGCATTTGTAATTGTTACCAGTACTTGAGACACTTCTCCGAATGTATAACTCATGAACGGCTGGCAGAGACCGGTGAGAAGTGAAAAGAAGATGCCGAGCATAAATAGTAATTTTTCGAAACATGATGTACATTTGAACTGAAAAATTACAACTTTTTTACTTTTCAGCAGGAGCAGAAAAACAAAGAAAACTCACTATGACACGAATAAAACTGAGCAGTGGTGAGGATTTTTTCTGGCTTTCCTCGTGCAGCAAGGGAGTACTGGAATTGTTCGAATTTTCTTCCATATTTTTGTAGTTTTACAACTGTTCAAACAATCGCTCTCGTTATCATTACATTTTTCGAAAGAAAGTAAAAATCGGAAAGACAAACTAGAGACGTCTCGCATAGAAGAGACGCAGGAGGTGTGAGAAAGACCTCGTCCTCGATGTGTGTCCGCGCGCACGTATTCTAATGTACTCAATGGCAAACAATTTGCCATCCGCACTTACTTGTCCATTGTGATGGGTGTTCGCTTTTGATAAGACAGTCCTTTGGGCAAACGGGTCGTCGATGGCTTTTAGGTGAAGAGAGCCGAAAAAGAAGACATTTATGTATTGCTCAAGTGTTAGAGTGTATTGCGCAATACTTGGCAATTCTGACGATTTTTAGTAATTGGATAAAGAAAAAATAGTGTCTCCGCCTTTCGATTATTTTTTATCAAGATTATCGAATAGAAAAAAACGTCATTTTTCAGCGGAAACAATAGATCAAGTGGTGATAAGAAAGTGAAATTTGTGCGCTGTATTATAGTTTGAAGAAAGAATTGTTGGTTCTTTTGCACAGGGATAGTGAAGAATTTGTATTGAAATGGGTGAAAAATGATTTTCAAACAGTTTTCCAGGAAGAAAATATTTTTAAACCGAACACTTTACCAGAATTTCCCCTTCCCCATACCGTCAACTTTGAGCTCATATATCTCATTTCCCGTAACTCATATCAGAAAGTGTTAAACTAACAAAATGATTACTGTAACATTTCAAATATTTTGTCCGTTGATACCTTTTTCATATCTTTCACAGAAAATGAGATATATAGGTTCGAAATTTCGAGTTAGGGACATTCTGTTAGTGTTTATGGTATGCAGTTTACAGAAACTGACGACATGGAAGAGTAAATCATTGACATGACCAACTGAACAATTAAACAACACAAAAAAAGTACCATCGAAATACTCTAAGAAATGATCCAGCCAAAAATTTGGTATTTTCAGCATAAAACAACAAAAAATAAAAATATGAGCCATATATAACCAGAAACTCTCAAAAAGTAACACAATTCTTCTAATACACAATTTCTGTCGTTACTAATTTGAATATGATTTCAATTTGGAAAAGTTGAACTTTTGAAGCCATTTATCAATTTTCAGGATATCTTTTTTTAGAATACCCTCAAACTTGTGAAAGTCGGTCAGTATTTCACATCTTCTGACTGCAAGTTTTTTCCTTATATTTTCCATGGCGGACGATGCGGAGAGGACCAATGAAAACCTGATCTGATTGAACATTACCTTTTCTTTTTTTTTCTTCCAAAACTTTGTTTATTATAGTCTAATAAAAAGTTTATGCTTTTTAGTATCTAATTGCAGGTTTTTCCAGACGACAATTTTCAAACGACATTTTTAGAACTTTTTTTTTTCCAATTCGATTTCTATTTTTGTCGGTTTTTCAATAGTGAAAATGCGCAAAACAGGCAATTTTTAGATTACTGCAGTTTTCATTGTCGGTCCTTCCACGACCACGAACACCGGCGTTTCCTTTCCACAGCTCTGATTTATTTGTATCAGAATAATAGACCCAAGATTTCGATACCAGAGTGAAGTTGTATTCGCGTTGCATACCTTCTGAAATCATTTTTGCATTAAATCACAGCATTCTGATCATTCTGTTATGTTTTCAGGACTCAGGGCACACCGTTTTTAGGTTTTTTATTTGAGTAATTGCGCAAATTTTGCCGAAACGGAATATAACACTAGAAAGAATCAGTTGTCTCAGGAACATCAAGAAGAAGCAAGGAACTACCTGGAATTTGTTTTTCGCACTTAGAATCTGAACAATGTAGTCTCCAGACAATTCGTATTTTTGATCATATATGGTCTCAAATGTCACGTCTAGTTGCTATGGAAAATGCTATTATTCTATATTATTGAGTTGGACCCCCATGCCAGTAAATGGATGGTTGGGACTGAAGTAAGAAAAATACAAACTTTAAAGAAATTGATTTTTAGGATTTTGAGAAAATACTTTTTTTCTGGTTTCTGAACTGACAATAAGCTACTCACACTTTCTTGGTTTTTTGGTATTTTTTCCAGTTTCAAGATCCGTACAATCGAATTTTCAGATTCAAACCCAAATACAACGAGTAAGAAATTGAAAATTTCGGAAATTTTTTTTGTAAATTTGATTTTCGATACTTGAGGATCTCCCAGGTGAGTTTCTCATGTGCTACCGTAACCCATACTCGAAAAACCAATAAAATTAATTTTCCTTTGTTCCAATTTCCCCATTAAAATGATAGTTTCGTTGACAGATTTCCGAATATCTTTTTCAAAATAGATCTCATGACACTCCAAAACATTTTTCTAGTTACATTACGGAGCACACATAATTGTGAAAGGGGGTGGAGGAAAGAGACGAGGAGCGAGTACTGTAGTTTTATTGCCTTACCTTGGTCAATAACAACCCGAAAAGAGTGAAGAACGATTATTCGAAACTCTACCGGAGGTGAAAAATTGAATTTTTCCCGGGAACTTCTTTCCTTCCGGTTTGAAAACTGTTTGATTTTTGCATTTTCAATGGTTACTTGAACTTTTGAGAAGCCGCATTCAAAAACAATGTCCACGAAAAATGATTTTTCTGAAAATTTACCCTATCTTGAAAGAAATGAAACAAACTTTTTGAGTAAATTTCAATTTTTCAATTTTTGAAAAATCTCCTTGTCGGATTCGGTTTAATATTCTAGTTTACCCCATTTATACTGAAAACAATAGTTTTGAGGGGAACAGTTACGTAATCATGCACTTATAATACTGTTTCCCATCAACACATCATTTTTAGAATGAGGAAAAATTTAAAAATTCAGTGTGAGCACAAAACAAAATTAGTGTCCCTTTTTCATTATAAGAGAAGAATTTACAAAATAAAAAATGATTTTTTTTCCGATTTTTTAGTTTTTTTTATAAAGTTCAGAATTTACTTTTGAAAATTTAATGAGTCTGCCATTATTTCCCAAAATTTTGATTTCTAGAAGCTATGATTTTCGATCGAATTTGGGACCCGATCCGCAGAGTTTTTGGGGGACAACGTCAACGAGTCAATGTCTACCCAGAACAAGAATTATACAATGTGAGCCACAGATTAATTTTCTTGTTTCCATTGAATTCCAAAGTATTTCTTTCCAGACTGAAAGACAAGCTTTCATGGCCTTGTATTCATTGTACCAGTCAACTGTCAATGATCTTCGTGGACACCGTAACCCAGCAGCAAAGGAAACCATCAAAAACTTCGATGACGAGGCCTATCCAATAATTTTCGCCGGATTCGCACGCACATACAATTATGAGGAAATGCTGGTCAGTTTTATTGTCGGAGTTGTTGTGCGCGAAACAAAGAAAAGGGAGGAAAGATAAGATAAGGAAGTTCTGTGTTAATTGTTGGGTGGCCGAGCAGTGAGAGCTGAAATTTTATGAGATGGGTCATATATGAGTGATAAGGAAATAGGAAGGGAGCACTAGTTCGGTTCAATTAGGACTTTTGGAATTTTAAAGGAGGAAAGACAAGAGGTGTTTTTCTAATTCCGAGAACATAATCTTTTTCATGTTTTCCGCCTTAAGGAGAATATGGAGGTTTTCGAAAACCTAAAATTTTCAAACATCTTGAAAAATGACTTACTAATTTGATCTTTGATCATTCGATTGCTAAAAGCAAGTACAATATCCGCGGTCCTCTCTCGACACCTTTAGACACGTGCCGCGTATGTTTTGTCTGCTTTCAAGTTTGAATTTTCCCGCCGAAAAAAAATATTCGCGTACCAGTCACCGGTGTCAAAACATTTCATACTAATTATACACCTTGTCCCACCAGAAAATTATATCTTTCGAAGAGAAAGAAAGTTTTTATTTATTTTTTAATTCTAAAATTCGGCAAATAGATTTTTTTTGAAAAATTATTTTTCAGTGGAAGATCATAAACTTTGGAGTCCTAGGAATGTTTCAATGGTTTTCAAATCGTATAAAAATTGCAGAAAATAGTAAACAAAATTAGAGGGAAACTTTTAAAAATTCGTTTTTAAATTGAAAACTTTTCTTTTTGTCAAATTCCGTTTTTAAGATATATTCCATTTTCAATTTGAAAAAAATTACAATCAAAAGTTCGCGCAATTCAACTTATAAACAATCCAAGTTGTATACTGTAGGTTAGACTCCGCCCCTTTTCAATTTTGCTTTTTCAACGCTTTGAAAATTCTCAACAAAACTACAGTATCCCTCTTCCCTTCTATCATTCTTCGCTGCGCAGCGAAATCCCACAAAATCCCTTTTCAATTAATTCTTACAGAATCTTCGTATCGCTCTACAGAACATAGTCATTCGCATCGGGATCAAAGTGCGCGAGATTGAGTAGGCCCCATAACTCATTTCGTTTTATTTTTCCATTTTGCTTTCTTCCTTCCCCAACACACCGCCTCTTCATCCCATTGACTCCCACCCCTTTTTCCATTTTCTTCGTCCCTTAAATTTCGTCCTCCATTTCATTTAAAATTGTTGTATTTGATTCGTTTGCTTTTATGTTCGTAAAATTGTCGTCATTCTTTTTTTTTCGAACTTTTTTCTTTCTTTTTCAATAGGGTTTAACCCCCCTGAAATTCTTGCTTGTATCTCCTTATTAATCTTGTATCCAATCTGACATTTCAGTTTGAGGTCGGGTTAGCCCCATTTTTTAATCTTGTTTCAGCATTCCAATTTCCGCACTAGCCACATTTTTTCGCCATAGCAGAAAAAAGGTTATTGCCTAGTTATATCAATCCAAAAAGAGGCAGGCGAAATATTCCTTAAAAATCCGCCCCCTGTCCTCGGTACCCATTCATTTGTTCTTCTCTCGCTCCGCCCCTTCCTATCAACTAACCGTCTCCAAAAACTGATAACCTTTTTCAGTCTCATTCTTGGTGTGAACGATATGAATGCCCTCCGTCGTTTGCTCGGTCCGGCTCCGTATGATCCAGAGAGGGAATTGAGAGGACAGGTGGCTGAGGAGTTGAAGAAGGGAAGAAATGGAATCAACGATCTTTCTGGATTGGTGAGTTTATTGGGGCTCAGTATCTAAGACTACATCGAAAAGGAGTACATCCATACTTGCGGGCCTTTACCGGGCCTTCGCGAGCCTTGCCATAGTTTTTTTTTAAATTATAATTTTTAGGCGGACTAAATCAGATGCGACAGATTTTGACGAGAACTACAAAACGATATTACTTGAAAAATTGTGTCTTAACTGTGAACAAAGTCACAGACAAAATAAGAGGACTTGCCCTGCGCCATTAGGCCCGGCTTCTTCAAGGCTTGTAACTTTGTTCATAGATGAGATACAGTTTTTCAAATACCGTAAAAACTCTAATTTAATACCATGGCGTTCTTTTTTTCAATGTATAGGTGAGAGAACGTTGTATTAGAGGGTGGCATTCTATTAATCGATTAAAAAAATTTTCGCGAAGATTCTGATGATGCGCAAAATACTTTGAGAATAAGCGAAAACTGGGGAGTAACCAGGGAGAAACAAATAAATAAAAAAACCACCTAATTGCGTAATGTCTCAACCCTATCTGAATAGCAAAAATTAATAACATGATGAATCGTAAATTTTTTTTGAGGTATCATTCTATTAGGGGTGGCATTCAATTGGAGGATGGCGTTCTATTTTTCAGATCACAGCTCAGCGAACGTTCTCTTAAAGGGTGGCGTTCAATTAGGAGGGGCTATATATTAGAGTTTCTACGGTAATATTGTTTTGTAGTGTTTGTCGATTTCTATCATATCAAAATATTTTTTTAAACTTATTTTTTTTTGAAGAAAATGTTTGAAATATGAAATTTCATTCAACTTTAAGCATAACACAACAAGATTCATGCTCTGAAACCTTCTGGGAGTTGCGAAAATCGTTCTTGAAAATTGCTGTTTTGCTGAAAAAGGCAATTTTTGGTACTGAAACTGATATAACTCGGCTGAAACTGGCGAGCGGTTTCTAATATTTTTAGAGAACCTATTGTGGATCTATTCTGATATATTCATCAAAATCTGGATTCAGGAGGTGTTGAGGTTCCCGTACCTATTGATTCGAAAAAACAGAAAATTCCAAAAACCGAAATTCCAGGTCTTCCGTCAGCCATTAGCTTACCAGAAGCGTAGAAAGGATCGGTGTTCCGCTTTGGCGGCCATCGTTGAAAGCAACGGAAATCAATCAGATCTGACTCTCAGTGTAAGTTTACATTCATAATCTGATTCTTTGTCTAAATGCCAAATTTACAGACCCGCCACGATGATCTCAAGACTGTCAACGCTGACATCGAATTCTTCAAAGCTCGCATGGAAAGCGACAAGATTGGCTACATCGCGGCGTGGAGACAAGCATGGAGAAAGTATTGGATTCGCAGAGCAGTGCGCATCGAACGGGAGCGTCGCAGAAGAGAGTGGGAGCTCATCGAGAACGGCGTGACTCCAGTCGACCAAATCAAGTTCTATTACTAAATTTGTTGGATCGGATCATTTTTGTATCTGTACTTTTGGTTTGCTGGCTCTCCTTTCCTTTTTTCCTTTTTTTAACTGTAACAAGTTCAACTTGATCATCGAATCTCTTTCTCCCTTTCCTTTTTTCATGCCTCCAAAATTTGTCTGTTTTGGACCTTGGGTTTCTTCGGATTCCAATCTTCTCATTGGACTCTTCCCTTGACAAAGACCATGGTCCCTAATAAATCCAATCTTCTGTTAGTCCAGCTGCAGTTTTATTATCACATTTGACAGATTGTAAAAAAAAAGAAAAATGAAAGTTCAGATGGGTGTCCTTTTGGGTGGCAGCACCTGGAGCCGATCGCCGAGGATGCCTGGTACGGAGCACAGCTGAGGGATACGATAAAAACAACAGATTGGATAAAAAAACAACTGGATCGGATAGATTGGAGCGACGATGCAGCTGTGGGATTACTGTAGAAATTGAGAGCCCTATTAGAATCTAGTAGATCCTAGCTGTCTAAAAGTAAGATCACTTTTGTGTTTAGGTTACCGTAATTCAAAAGCTTAGGGGACTGTGGTTTAGAAGTTTAGATTACTATAAATCAGAAGCTTGGGTTACTGTGAATCAGAAGCTTTGGTTACTGTAAACCAAGAGCTTGGGTTACTGTAATTTATTAGCTTGGGTAACAGTAAAAGCAGCTTGGGTTACACTAAATCAGAAGTCTCGGTTACTGTAAATCAGAAGCTAAGGTTATTGTAAGTAATTAGCTTGGGTCACGGTGAATCAGAAATTTGGGTTAATTCAAATAAGAAGTATAGGTTACTGTACTCCATGGGTCCTTCCTCTATTTACTACCGCGTTTTAGATCTTCTCAATTTAAACTTATCCTTACCGTACCCCCATCAAACAAGTCTATAACCACCCGGAATCATAGTTTACGATTTGTGTACACCGGACCGACAACTGCCGGTGGCCCTTTGAGCTCTTACTCTTTATCAGTCCTCCATCGTCAATCACTGGTTTATTTGAGACATCCTTATCAGTTTGGGAGACCATAAAGAAGGTTTGGAGGGGCTCGCGAATGTTTCTAATCAGCGTGATGTTTACCTACAAATGGACATCGTTGTGTTGTATTGTACATGTTCCAATTTAGGTTCTTAATTGATTTTAGGAAGTTCTGGACCAATAAATAGCTCTGGGAGTGGTTTTTCCTTTTTTTTCAGTTTCTGATTTCTATTTTCTTTTTGTCACAACTGTACTTTTTTGAAAATATAGAATCGAGGAGGTCATAAAAATCCCATTCTCTTCCTGTTGTCTCCTCTCCCCGCTTTAGAATTTCAGCTGTGTTTCTCATAACTATTTTTTGTACCTTTTCTTGAGAATTGGTTTTTTTTCAGAAAATTTGAAGATGAATATGGAGATGCATGAATCAGAAGTGTTGGGTTTTCTGGAGGAATCTATGGTGGGTCTTTTTTTTGGACGATTATGTGATCCCAAAATTTTCAGGTTGAAATCCGAGAGTTCTCTAAAATCCGCAACTATCACTTCCAACTTGTCGATGGATTAAATCTCTTGGTAAATTCATATATTCAAAGTGCCGATCAATATATATATATACGTATTTTTCAGTTGATTTTCGGACATTTAATCATATTCCGGGGTCTGCAGCTCGACTGTCAAGTTTCCAAATATTTCGAAATTTTTTGGAGGGTGTAAAACAGATCTATATACAAAATTTTGCATTCACAGAATTTATTGAAAATCTCTAGTTTTTCAGCTATTTGCCAACTTCTAAAAGGTACCGCTTTTAGACGCTTTTTTGTACTAAAAACGTGAAAAAACAGGTGTCTTACTAAAATCGGCATATATTTGAAAAATTAGGAATATTCAAAGAAATCTGTAAAGCAAAGTTTCCAATCTCTTTTGTTTTACAACCTCCGAAGTTTTCAAAGTGACAAGAAACTTGGTAGCCGAGCTCCAGACTCTTGAAAATAGTCAAAATGTCCGAAAATCTGATGGAATGTACGTTTTTGTATATCTTATTGACCGGTACTGTACATTTTTTTCCTTGGATTTCTGACTGAAATTTCCAATTTTCAGCTCTGCGACCCAAATGTCAAAACCCATGACGAATTCCCATTACAAATAGAAAGTCTCAAACGATCCGGCGCCTTCATATGCATGCACGCGAACGAGAATTACCATGTGAGCGATTTTTTTTCTCGAGGGTTGTATAAGGAAGGAGAGAGTCGGAAAATTCCTCCAATCCCTTCCAAAAAACCTACTCCCTTTTTATATGGTTTATGTGCTTCTAGAAATTTGGAAGACGACTCGAAGACGTCAACGAGGACCTGCTCGTTCTCACCTCCTACATTGTTCGTCACCTCTACCTAAACGAAGATGGATAGGGTCCTTCCGGCTCGTTTTTGAATTCAAATATGTATCTGGGACATATTGTCTTATTTTCGCGTCTCCTTTCATCTTGCTTCCCCATCTTCCAGCTTTCGTACACCACCTTCCACCCAAAAAGAGGAAAATAAATTTTAAAAAAATCCGAAATTCTTCTAGATGTTTTTTTCTGATATACCATGTCTATAACAGGGGCTAGAGGAATGTACTCTTGCATTTGTTTGTTTTTTCTTCTGAAAATTTTATGCGTGTTCGAAACGGTGTGCGCTTCTTTCGCCCTTTTCTCACAATCGTTTTTGACTGTTTTTTTATTTTCCGCTCAACACTCAATCATAAATCGGGCGAAATACGGCTCGCTTTCCCATCGATTTCGTTTTTTTTGCAACGCTCGAGGGGCGGGGCTTACAGCCGACTGCCGCGGCTGGATCTCCCCATGAGTTTCGTCATTGGACGTCCGCGCTCAGTCTCGGCAAGCTGTCTGGTGAGGTCTTCTATCGAGATGCCGGTCAACTTGGAGATGCGAATTAAGGTTAGTAGCTCTACTGATAAGACTCTATGAGGATACTAGTAGACCATATCCTGAGTAGTTCAGTATCCTGAATAGCCCTATGAAATAACGTGTTTCAGAATCTGGACGATGTGTTCCGTGAGCAATGGAATACGTTCGATGAGGCGTCTAAGTATATCACAAAAGCGGTGAGTTTCGGGAGCAGGAGGAGGGTTCCGGAGTAACACACAAATGGAGAATTGAGAAATTTGAATTTTAAAGACTCTTCCTGAAAGGATCTGTGAGTGATGGGCGCCCTTCAAAGGCTCCCTGGGTTACGGTAACAAAAAACTTATCCAAACAGTCTGGAAAAAACTTCCTAGTTTTGCAGGTACCTAGACTTCTCGTAAAACCAATTTCCATATTCCAGATTTCTTCTCAATAGCTGATTGAATCAAAAACTGGTAGGAAAAGTTATAGTGTATAAAAAATGGTAGGATCGCGTGACTAAAAATCGATAAGGTTTGATTAGGATTTTAGGACTTAAAAAATCATTTTGATAGAAATTCGTTTGGAACATTGGGGGAAAACGACATTGGAATTTTCCAAAAAAAAGTAATCCAGAATACTCCAGACTCATTAGTAGGACCTGTGTCAGAGATACCGTATCTGCGTCAATGGGAACCTACTCATAACGTGCAATTTGAGCTAAATTATCTCGGTTCGTATGAAGGATATCAAAAAGCTGTCAACTGATAACACTTTAGTAAAAAACAATATATCAGTAGACAATTTTTTGATATCTTTTGAAAGAACCGAGATAATTGAGCTCAAAGTGCAAGTATGGGATGGAAAGGCGTCACCTATATTCGCATTTTGAACTCAATTATCTCGATTGTTGTGAAAGATTCAAAAACTTTGTCAACTGATAAATGGTTCATCATATCATCACCAGGATTTTACTAGTTGACAACTTTTCGATGAGTTTCAAAGGAAATGAGATCATTGAGCCTAAATTGTCCATCTAGGATGGGAAGGCGCTACCCAATATGAAATCAAGGGTGGGAACACGGTTTTCGGAAACGAGTTCCAGCAGGATATAATACGGAGAGTAAGAAATTGAGCAGAAAGTTTTGAAGCATTTTTTAATGTACAGCGAATGTAATATGGGTGGCGTCTTAGATGATTATGATGAAACGGGACAATGAATAGATTATGGGCAATTGAAATTTCCCGGGAAACTAGAGTTTTATACAAAAACTAGATCGGATAGAAGTCGACGGTACTCTAAGGATTCTAAATTGTGATCACGGAGACAATCAAAGTAGGATATATAGGAATAGTTGAACTTCTTGTAACATCGGAACAGGAATGACTTTTGGACGACTACAAGAAGCTTGACTTGCTCCTTGAGGACGGGGGAGAAAACAATTGTACCGTACTCAAGAATGAATGTAGATGACAAAACATTTTACGAAAATATCCATTTTAGACTGGCGGAGAATATTAAAGAAAGGTTAATTCGTTGGTGTGCTTTCCGGAGTGTGGTAGCGAAGTGGTCAGAGAAAGTCAGTGACGAATTGGGAATGACTCATAAATCACGAATCCTCTGAACAGTTGGCAATCTCTCGTCGTTAATTGAAAAATGATTGTTAGTGTTATTAAAGGTGGGGGGACAGGAGATTTTACGGGGGATTTTTCGGGCCAGAGTATGCATTCTACCGTGACGGTGTACAACGCTTAATGTCACTCTGCGTACAGCTGTCGTCCTCGCTTTTATGTATCCAATCGGGCGACCGCTTTCTCTTTGCCCGTGTAGCTCAGTCGGTAGCGGCGCCGCACCCTCAATCCTCGCCCCACACGTTCAACTCCTCGAGGGGCATATTTGAACGAAATTTCGAGAACATTATTTTTTTCATGTCCCCCCACCTTTAAGACGTCTTTTATGAGAGAAAGAGATAGCTTCACAATTAGTGGGTGCAACACGCATTTATATCATTTATATTTATCTATTGACACATTTTTCATATCATTTCTTAAGAGCCGAGATAATTACATAAGTTCGAAGTACGTAAAGTGTGGTTTCCTATTAGAGCAAAAACGGTGTCTCTGGTTATGCGATAGGTCACTTTTGAGTAGATATCTGGGTTTAGTGAGTTCTATTTGGTTCTATTTGGGTTAGTAAATTTCAAAATAGGTTTGCTAAAAATAAATGAAGCAAGAAACAACAGCTACATTTTGAACGCCGATTTTTTATTTCAGCTCACCCACGAGTACTTTGGACCATGGCAACACATCTCGAATATATTGGGAGCTTGTCAGAGCCGCAACAAAATCATCACAGGAGACTATCTTCGTGCGGACAGCTACGAATCGATGAGAGTGAGTACTGAACTTCATTCGAACACAGTAAAAACCTTCCTGATTTCAGATCATCAACACCCGTATGACCGATGTGCTCAACGCGATCATTCCAGTCCGTGACTTCATGGCGTTTGCAATAGAGCAGTATGAGAAACAAAAAGAGGAGACTCGCATGGAGATTGAACGTCTGAAGCAGTTGGAGGAGGCTCGTCTCAAGGAACTTGGACCGATCGATGTTTTGAAGAAGGTCGTGGATGGGCTCGATGAGCTGAAGATCGTTACCGTCAACAAGAAGACAATTCAGCCAGCGGCTCCAGCCGAGGAAGCTCGAGCTCCAGCTCCATCTGAGACCAATCTTCTGCTCAACGAGCAAGCCGAGAAGTTAAATGTCTACGAGGAGCCACCAAGACGTGGACGTTCGTTCTTCAAGTGCTTTGGAAGACGCTAAACCCCTGGATCCTGGAAAATCAATGGTGCTGTACTTCAAAGCAGAAGGATATGCTTAATTTCATAACTTTATAATTGTGCCAACGACATAATGTACATCGAACAATGTAATATCTCTTTTCTAAATATATTTCTCTCTCTCTCTCTCTCTCTCTCTCTCTTTCTCGTATTCTGATAATGTTACTCCTTACCATTGAATTTTAATAAATAAACTTTGTACCGAGATGATGGAAAAGGGTGAAGGGTGGCTCAAGAATCGATACACCGTAAACCTGTATTAGAAGGGCCCCTTGGATAGAAAGATCGGCCTTCCTTGTACCGGTCTTTTATTAGTTGCATCTACTTACCCAAATAGACCGTTCAAAATTGTCTCTACAGTTCAAAGATTACGGCTCATCTAACTATTACTACTGTAATTGTACCTGGCTCGCACCTCGCCTAATAAAACGATCGTAAAGTGTCATAAAGGCGACAATATTCTACCGTCCGACGACAACAAGTACCTCCACCGCCGATAACACTCATTTACACTGCGAGCGGCAGAATTGATTAATTTACATTTTCACAGAAAACTCAAAACACCTCTTTTGGTAATTTTTGAATGTTGTCATTTTTCCTCCTTTCAGAATTCTCCTAAATTTTTAAATTTCAGAACAAACAATTCCAGTTGAAACGGTTCTTTTTTCTGAATTTTCCCACTGAAAAGGAGAGAACATAAAAAATGAAAATTTTGCTTCCATGTCTTTTCTTCCAAGAATGCAATATGATTTTTGTTTGGAGGGGGGGGGGGGGGGGGGAATTGGAAATGACACTTTTGGTGTTGGCGTGATTAAGATTAGAAATTATTTTTGGTTTGGACTTTTTCTCGTTTTCTGGAGACATTTAGATATTCTGAGCGCTTTTGTCTTTTGTGTGAGCTGGAACTAAAGAGCATGCATAATGATTTTTTTTCTGTTTTTGTGGTTCTGTTCATTCCAAAAGAGCAAGTTCAGTTCTTGAACAGTTTGGACACATGATTTTTTTGTGCGTTCATTCAAAATTAGTTGTTTTCTCTGATAGAAGAAAACCCTATACGTTTGTTACTTTGAGTTCAATTAGCTCGGTTCCGGAGAAAGATAGAAAAAATTGGTCAACTGATAGAATATTTATCTTGATATCATCAATACTTCATCATTTGACAAATAATCGATATCTCTCCCAGGAATCTAGAGAATTGAGCTCAAAGTATACGGTATTTGGTTGGCTTCTATTAGAGCAGATATGGTATATTCACCATTTGTTTTGCAGAAGTTCAAAATCTGTTTACCACAAAGTTTCACCGGTAAAATCTGTTCCTAAACTTGAAAGAAAAAACTGTTGCCTCCCTCACTTTCCTTTTTTCTTTGTTTTCGATTTCGTGAATAATTTTCACTTTCCGTTCACCTGTCTAATATCAAAAATAAGTTTTTCTATAGGATCCTTAATTGCACGTTCCAAAATTCTTCCATCTCGTCGTTTAAAACAACGAAGACCTTTGTGTTTTGTGCCCGCAGTTCTAAATGGCAACCGTCGCCGACCCTTCACTTTGCATTTCGCGTATAGCATTTATGACTTTTTGTTGTGCAAAACAACATGTCTCAGTCGTTTTTTTTTGCTAGGCTTCAACACAAATTTATTCTATTTTAGGAGCTCATCCCTTATGAAGGTCGCGCCAGTTATGGATGAAGTTTTCGATCTTCGTAGGAAAATCCATATTGTAAGTTTGCCAGTTTCCAGTTTTAAAATTGAAAATTGAACTTTCAGATGAACGCCGAGAACTTCATCAGAGCCAAAAATGAGCATTCTCTCTTAATCGCTCAGGTAGACGGGATGGTAGGAAAATTTCAAGAGAACGTTTTTAATTTATTGAATTTTTAAGAAAATTGATACTTTTGCTGATGAGCTCAAGGAAAAAGTTGAAGCCATTCGTCGCAAAGGTGCTTACTACTCAGTTCGTGGAGGAATGAATTTTGTGGTAAGGAGAGATGCAAGGGGATGAAAATAGAGCTAACATTTCACAGAAATAAAAAAATTTGGTACCGTAGTCTAATAGAAAATTACTCGAACTTTCAACTTTGAGCTCAATTATCTCGATTTTTGTAAAGAATATAAAAAACGTGTCGACTAATATGAAAACTGTTATAATTATGCGGTATTTCGATTCATAAAAAATCCTATCAGAGAGCAAAAAAATTACTGATCATAAGGCAGAAAACGAATTTACTGATTTTTTCTGCTGTCAAAACTGAAAAAAAAGCCTGCAAGCTACAGGAAAAATTTTATCTGCATTCAAAAAGTCTCACGAACCTGAACAATTCGCTATTCTTTACTAAAAATTATCAAGAATTACAATTGTTACAAATTTCAAAAATCGAAATTTCCAAAAATTGAAACCTACAGGAAACGTTGAATTTCGACAAATTCTACAAAAACGTTCCGCCTTGAAAATTGATTGAAGTTGAATATTTTTTTTAATTTCAGATTTAAAACTTTTTCGATAATGCCTAATTTGCAGCGCTACACCAAAAGCCTCTCCGAACTCAACACCATTCTTCGCCGTATTCTTTCCGGGCAACAGATCAACATTGATAACTGAATTTTTGTTTTTTTTTCTCTTTGACATATTTTTCACTTCTAAACTTCAATCTGTTTTAAGTTCAAACATTTTCTCTCATTTTGTGTTCATACCAAATCACTTTTTTTTCTCTTGTTTTTTTTCTCATTTTGTTGCAAATGTTCATTTTTTTTGGTATTCTCAAAAGCCAATAATAAAATTTGGGTTATTTTATAAATTTAATTTCCAAGTTAAAAACTTGAAAAAAAGGAGAACAACGTTTTCAGAAACTTTATTCTAAAATTATAAACAAACAGAGAAATGTTTGTTTACCCTGAAAATATCCGAGCTAAACCAATCAAAAAAAATCTTATGAAATCTTTTTTTTTCATATTTCTGAATTTCATAAGTTTTTTTGCTTCTGAACCTGATTCCCAAAATCATCCTTCTTGCCTTGTACTAATAAAAAATGTATTAATGAGCACCAGAACATATCAGCAACCAACTAAAAAAAAAGAAGGAAAGGTGTAATTATAAAAAGGATATACCCAATGTGTACACATGTGTGTGAAATCCTATATCTGCCTCTCATAAGTATAGGTTCATAGATCATGCTCACACCATCGAGCTCCTTTTATTCGATTTTTTCATAAAGGTGTATTTTGTTTTTTTCTATGTCACACTGGAAGAGCACATGAGAAAATCTGTCTCTTCAAATTTTTTTTCAACATTTGTATTCTTAGAATTTGACGAGTTATAATTGTAGCTCTCAGTCTTTCTTAAATATAATTTGAAGAGACAGGTGTGTTTTTATTTTTCTGCTTGTTTTCTGCTTTTTCATACATTACAAGCTACTGAAATTTCTAGAAAATATCAGCAAGAATTCTTCAATCATCTTTTTTTTTGCTTTCGGTAAAACAAAAAGCAGCATTAGTCAAATTTTCGTCATACAGAAAACAGGATGACTCATTCTTTAAGAGGGAAAAAAGCCTTTAATAATTTTTTCTGTGTTCTTTCTGGATTCGTATTCTCTTACCAGCTACAAAAATTTATTTATTTTCGTTTTCAAATTGACAGCACCACCGGCCGAAATGTGATTATTAATTTTTCTTTTCTCCAGAAACCGGTGTCTTTTCTTGTTTTCTCTTCATTCTGCATTTTCAAGTCATATATTTTAGTTACAAAATGCCATCGCACCCTATCGATGATCTTACTGGAGCTCTTAACTGGCTCACTCATGGAGATGAGCTTGAAAAATACGAGAACCTCAAATCTCGCTACCACAGGCTTATTAGAGGCCTCTGCACTATTGTGAGAACAGTGATTCAGAACTTAGAGTGTTTTATTCTTGCAAATTTGAGATCGAGATGGAGTGCATGTCTGATTACCATTACATTCTTGAAATCTACGACTCGGCAGTGGCTATGGGTCTAAATGTCATCAACGAAGATTTTCCCAAGGCTACTACGAATGAAGACTTTGCTGTGAGTAACTGTTTTAATATTTCTTCTGGAAGAGAAAAATAGGACTAATAGTAAAACACTTACCGTTTTTGCTCTAATAGACGCCCTTCATGAACGAGCACTTTGAGCTAAGTTATCTCGGTACCTTTGAAAGATATTTTAATTTTGTCAAATGTTGGATTATTCATCATCACATCACCAATGTTTCACCAATTGACGGATTTTTGATATCTCTCATAAGAACCGAAATAATTGAGCTTAATTTTTGTACTTTACAATCATTTCGTAACACACCATAGAGTGAGATAACCGGTTTTGAAGCGGCAAAACTCTCTGAATACTAATTTTGATTTTTTCTTCACATTTTTGGTGAAAAAGCCTCATGTCTCATCGGAATGGGATGTTTTTATTTTCAATTAAAATAACAATTATCAGAGTAACGGAAACACTCGGTTGTAATTTTTTAGTTCTTCCACTAAAATCTCCAAAAATAATTTTTTTCTTATTGTGTAGATACCGTTTTAGGTCATCCTATTAGGATTGTCACAACATTAGCTTCAGAATAAAACATTATCTAATGTCGAAAGTTTCTAATCATTTTGTTATTTTTGGTAATTAGAATCAATAACTTCACATTTCTAAGCTTCAAAATTTCCAGATCATTTTCGGCAAAATGGAGGTCGCAGTGGACAAGCTAGAGGCTGTGGACAGAGTCATCACTGGATGCGTCAGCCGTAAACTCTTTCTTCTTCGTTGAACAAACAACAAGTACTCTCATTTTCAAAAATGCCTTTTGTGCCAGTGAATTCTCCCGTTTCGAAATCCCCCAAAAATGAATATTTTTGAAATTCATTGAAAACAACATTTCTCCGGTTACCTTTTCTTTTTTCTCACTATCTCTTATTCTTCTTTTTTCAAATGTGATACAGGGTGTGGTACAACTCATTTTCATTTTTGTTCGTTTTGAATGTTCAATCTACAAATGATTTCCAATGAAAAATACTTTTAAAATGTATCAAATCTTTACCAACGTTGTGGTGGTTGTTGTCTTTTGTCGTAGTGATGACGTGGCGCCGAATCCATATGGATATGGTGAACCCTTCCAGGATTTTCGAAAATGACCTGAAATCTCAATTTTAAAAGCAACAACTTTAAGATTTAAAACCTCTTGTCCAGGATTTTGAGCTTGCAAACGGAATGATCTTCTCAAAGCTCGAAGAACATAACAAACCACTAAAGAGGCGCAGCCAAGCACTGTTAAGACAAAAGAAATGAGCATGGCCCACCTGAAAATTTGAATTTTAAGAAAAATGAGGGAAAATATAAAAATATTGACACTCACGTCAGAAAATGTGGATCAATTGGAGCACAAATGTACTTCTGGCCCATGTTGTTGCAATTTTGAATAAAAACGCATTCCGATTTGTCGCAGTGAGATCGGCAAACGTCCATGGTGTCATGGCAGACCAATTGCTCAGAATGGATCGCGTTTCCCATTTCTAGAACAAAATTCAAAATGTTAAAAAAACAATCGATAGAAAAGAAAATGGTCAGATGGTCAGTCAAGAAGGTAAAAGTGACAACGCCCAAGAAGAAGACGTTATTTTGAGAAAAAGAGGAAACAAGAAAACATCGTTTACGAGACGGAGAAGTTGACCCCAAAAGAATAAGGCATGGTCAGGGAAGAGAAGGAGACTGATCAGAAAACGAATGTTCGATTAGTCCTTGCCGAACTGGATATGATTAGAACAGCAAAATGTCGGATAGAAGAAGCATATGCAGGATAACAAGACGTAAAAAATATGTGTTTTGCATCCAGGAGACAGGTGTCAGATGAGACGTCAATCTGGTAAAAACAAAAACTCCTAATTTCTTTAGAAATCGAAATTCCGGAATCATGTTTCCAATAAAGTTCGAAATAAGAAACGCCCAACATGACGTTTATCATAAATCTGGAAATATGGAATTACAGTAATCCGAATTTATGTTTCAAACCACAATAATCTGAAATTAGGTTCTGAACATTAGTAATCTGAAACTGCTTTTTGAACTATGTACAGTAATCTGAATTAGGCGTTATACTACAGTAATCTGAAATTATGTATTAACTACAGTAATCTGAAACAATTTTTTCTTTTTTCCACCGACCTTTCGAATAACAGGTGCACCCCTCCTGTACGACAACTAATAAAAACTCTCGACCCAAACTAAAAAAGGACCAGTTTCAAAATGGAAAAAAAGATCCCAGGTGCATCACAGATGGCCTCAAACCCCAGCTGTGACCTTTGAGCCCATCGCTCATCGAGGCGGAGAGAGTATGGTACTATTCATTTCAATCCAACTGAATCGCAATGAGTGGTGACTATCCAATAACTTCCCAACCTGGCTCCCCAGATCTGCTATTGGACATCCGTGAGACTAAGATTGACATTTATCCGGCTCCAAGCATTGTTGAGGTCGAGCAGACCAGCTTCTACAGGTTAGTAGATTTTCCGTTTTTTTCAACAGGGTTCGGAATTTTAAAAACGTTTCTGGAATATAGATTAACAACCGAAACTTTCTTCGATATATTTTTAGTTGAATTTCAACGTTAAATGTTTGGAAATATATCATGTTTTGTTGGATGAATCTGAAAATTCTCAAATGTACTAACCAAAAATTAAGCCTCAATTTTGTAGTTGACAACTTTTTTGTAAATGTTTATCTGAATGAGATATACCGCTTGCAAATGTTAGTGATGTTTCTGAAAGTTTTGACGCTTGGTTGGTTTTGAATGGTATGTCTCATTTGTTTGAACTTATACAAAAAAGCATACTTGCAACGGGCCGGGCCGGGCGGGGCTTTTTTTGGAATTTTCAGAGCCCGGTCCGGCCCGGCCAGTCTCGGCCCGGGTTTTCAGAAAAAATTTTCCTGACTTTTCAAAAAAATTTTTGAGGTCAATAGAAAAAAATGAATGATTTTTCTGTCAAGTAAAAAAAAATTTAAAATAAGAGTGTCCATAAAAAAATGTTTCACAAAAAAATTTGAAAATTTTTCTGAAATTTTAAATTTTTTTTTCAAATTTGAAGAACCCGGGCCCGCCGGGCCGGGCCGGGCCCTGATTTCGCAAGTATGCAAAAAAGTTGTCAACTACAAAAATGAAGCTCTATTTTTGTTCAGTAGTGTCATGAAAATTCCAACAAAAAATTCGACCAAGCTCATTGATCTCAAATAATAACTACGGCTCTAGTTGGTTATTTTGGATTCAATAAACTTGATTTCAAGGAAAGCTAGAAATTTTTGGATTTCGAACTATTTTCTATCCTAATCATCGATATTCGGCTGAGAAATAAAAACTTCTCTGATTCAAAGATTTTAAAATAATTATTTTTATTTTTCCAGCCGCGTTAAGAAGTTCGTCGCCAACACTATGGCCAGCATGATCTGCGCCATTGCTGACCGCCCATATTTAAACTTCACCGGCCGTCCACTCAACGTCCAGACCGTCTACATCACCAACGACGATCTCCCACCAGTTTGAAGCGTGCTCAGACCAATTTTTATAATCGCACATTCTTTCTCATTTTTTTAAAATTCAACCCACTCTTTGTTTTTGTATTCGGTCTGATGAAATATGTTGTTTGTATCCTTGACATCACTGTTTCTTCTGGACTTGAACTTTTGAATGCTCAAAAAATCAAGAATTCGTGAAAAATGTAATTCTTTGAAACCTGATAAACAAGATGTTAAGAGCAGGTGCACACAGAAGTTTTTCGCGCGCTTACACTACATAATTAGAGCAGGCGGCTCGCTCATGCCCGCGCTGTTAGTTTCCAAGCAACGGCATAATCATGAACGCGCGACTTGACTTCTCCTCTTTGGCGTTGCAGTAGCTACGTGTTCTGAAGTGAAGCCATGGCTGCGATGGTGATGGCATGGGAAATTGCTACACTGTTAAGAATGCGTCTATTTTATCAGTTATAGAAGATGCGCTACAACCTGGTGAGTTCTTTTTTGAAGGATTTTGACATACAGATTTTGTGAATTTTTGATCAATTCGACCATTTTCAAGAGTCTAGAACTCGGCTATCAATTTTCAATTTTCTTTGCAAGCTTTGAAGGGTGTGAAATAGACCTAGATTGTGAACTTCGCATTCTTAAAGTTTTTTTTCAAAAAGTGCTAGTTTCTCAGCTATTAGCCAATTTCTGAAAAGCAACATTTTGCACTGAAAAAAGCTACAACACGGCCGTGTTCCAAAAATTGGAGAATTGTCAGAAATTATTTAAATGTAAAGATTGCAATCCGGCTACCGTAAAATCTGTATTAGAAGGCCCCCCGTGAAGGAGTTGGAAAAATAGAAGGACACTCTAAAAATGTATTGTTTGAAATTGAAAACTTTCGTACATTTTCAGTAAAAAATATTCCAGAAATGTGTCTAAACATAGTTTTGTTTTTACTCAAAAACTTTCTTAATCTTGGTGAAAATGATGAATTTTCTTGCATTTTAATGCATTTTAGAAGGACCGGTATATTTGATACAGGTTTTACGGTATGTTTTACACCCTCCAAATTTTTTAAGGTTTTGAAAAATTTGATTGCTGATCTCTAGACTCCTGGAAATGACCATACAACCAAGAATCAACTGAAAAATAATCTTTGCTTATCTCATCAACTGATACTGTATGGAAAATAAGGCTATTTTAGGAAGCCCCTTTTCTGCATTTCTGCTGGCCGTTGAAATTTGTCTCTGCTTCATCTTCTTGTTCTCAATCCCCAACACCAGAAAAGACTCCATTTTCTGTTTCCTCGCTATTGTATTGGCTCCGTATCTGGTGAAAACTACTGTCGAAGTCGCATATTTTGTATCCATCTATTTTTATACCGCTTCTTATACGTTTTGGAGCTGGGTGCATGATTCCGTAGTGTCGTTTTGCTATTCCAGTTTCTTGTTCAATTATCAGTATGGATTGGTATTTTATTCCTGGCAGGGGATATATGCTGCAATCAAGAAACGGCCGGTGTCTAAGTCTAAAACAAGGTGAGGTAGTTTTTTGAATTTCATCTTTCGAATATTGAGTTCCACATGGCCCTACATGCTGATATTTATGATAACTCTTATCCAGTCTGCTATTTATTGGCAGATAATGACCGTTGGTTTAGTTTCCGCACTTCTGATTCTAGTTCTGGCTCCAATTTCCATAATTGTGGTAATTTTGAACAAGAAACTAGTTTAAAAATATTACCCCGATTTCAGTCCATTCTCTGTGTATTAATCTGCAAAACAGATCATACATCCATGTTTGAAATGGTTAGGGAAACCAAGTCGAGACTTCTATGGAATATTCCATGCCTGGTAATATCACTGGCAGATGTGTCAGCTGAATTATACTTGAGTGAGTTTTTGCCGCATTTCCTCTAATAGAAACCCACCCCAACCGTCACCTTCAAGCTTCATTAATTCGATTCTTTTGAAAGATATCATCAACTATTAAAACGTTTATGAAATTGTAATATGATAAATAATTTATCAGTTGACACATTGTTGATATCTCTCGAAGAAATCGAAAAAAAACTGAGCTCGAAGCTGCCGGTTCGGGGTGAGCTTCTATTAGAAAAATACGGTAGTTGTCCCAGTTTAACCTAAAAAGTTTGATTCAGATTTCCGCCCAAACGCTTATAAAACAACCGCTGTTCATAACAAAGGATATCTCTTTCCGATCCTTTTCCCGCCGGTTGCCATAATTGTATTGTTTTTAACTTTGCCTGCTCTCAGGTAATATCACAGCTCAGGACTATTCATTTCATTCTCAAATTGTTTCAGGCGGGCTATTTTCCCATGTTGCTACAGTAATGAAACCGATTCCGATCGAATGTTCCTACTTCGACGTAACACCAACTCATCCAGCGGTTCCCCAGCTCCTTCTGAGCAATCCAGTGTCACTAACCACCCGATAATCACGTACCCCAGCAATACCGTAGTCCCCTACAACACAGAACCCCCTCCATTTTATCCATACTATACTATGCCTCATGTATATCAGCCTGGATTTCGTCAAGGGTATGGACAACATTTTGGCCAGACTCCTGGTCAATTTTGTCCTCCGGAAAATGGTCAACCAATGTACTTTCCGATTCCAATAACTTTCTATAATCCTTCGAATGTTCCGCTGATCAGAAATCCAAATGATTTACCACCGGTGCAGTGAATTCGACCGAAAACAGTTGTTTACTTTATTTAAATTCGAAAAATGTATTAATTTTTGTTAGTTCGATTTTCATGCAATAATAAATGGTTACATACATTTTGAGTAAAGAAATAAGAATGCATACAAGTCCGAGATAAGTTCAATATCATCAAAAAGCACAGTGAGAAACTGTTTGGAAAGATAGGTGAAATCAGAAAAAATTCAGCAAAAGAAAATCAATCATCATCCTCTTCTTCCTCCTCGGAATCCGTAATTGGGATCAGCGAACGATCCTGAACAATTCCGGTTGGTGTCTTGGCGAATTGACGGAGTGCATCTGGATCCAGTTCCTCCATAGCTTCCAATGTCTCCAGATGGGGTAGGACAGTCTCCCAGATCTTGTTCTCACGGATCATCTCAACCACAGCGTCAATTTCCGGCTTCATGTAGCGATCCTCGTTGAGTGGTCTGAAAATTGATAATTTTTTAGAATAATTTTTTTATCCAAAAAATAATGAAACTCACGGAGCCACGGAGCGGACAAGAGTGTAGACCTTGTGGAGTGGAGCAGTAGACATTAGAGGCTTCAGGAACTCGATTCCTTGACACGCGGCCAACAATTCCATCGCAAGAACCGCCTCGACGTGTTCAACTACAGTAAGTGCTTTGCGAGCCGAGAAGCCTCCCATGCTGACGTGATCTTCCTGAAAAATTCTAATGTTAATCATCTAATAACAAAGTTTTCACCTGGTTGCAACTGGTTGGAATGCTGTCGACCGAAGATGGATGGCAGAGGACTTTGTTCTCGGAAACTGCAAAAACACACGTCTTCAAGTAAGAATACAAAGATCATCTATACCCAAACTAGCAGCGCACAGCTGCACAGTCATGAAACCAGAGTTAAGCCCTCCGTCTGGGGTCAAGAATGTTGGAAGACCGCTCAACTCCTTGTTCACCAGTCTTTCCAAACGCCGCTCACTCATTTGGGCCAACTCGGCGACGGCAATTGCCAAATAGTCCAATGCCTTGGCTGGGTACTCTCCATGGAAGTTTCCACCGCTAATGATTTCCTCCCTATCGGCAAAAACTAGCGGGTTATCAGTGGCCGAGTTCATCTCGGTGGTGATAATTTCGCGAACAAACTCAATTGTATCATGAACAACACCGTGCACCTGCGGCACGCAACGCAGAGTGTATGCGTCTTGAACTTTTGAGCAGTTTCGGTGAGACTCTGAAAGTTAAAGGTGGTGGAGATTGAAAAGGGCTAGATCTATGATAACTACCAGCAATTTGCGATGGGTTAGCTTCCGAATGGAGTAGGGCACGGAGGCGAAGAGCAGATAGATTCTGACCACGATGTGGACGGATTCTGTGAATATCCGGGTCATAAGCTCTAGTGGTTCCTTTGAGAACATCCAAAGACAACGCAGCAATCACGTCAGCCTGACGGGCAATGTTGTGAGCTCTTTCCAAGGCTAAAAATCAAAATTTTCACTGAACCTCAAATAGTTCAAGCTTACTGAATGCTCCGAGAGCTGTAACCATTTGAGTTCCATTGATCAGGGCCAATCCTTCTTTTGGTCCTAGCACCAATGGCTCCAAGTTATTCTTCTTGAGAACAGCATCCGCTGGTCCCCATCCGGTATTTGGACTCCACATTTTTCCTTCTCCGAGGAGGCCGAGAGCAAGATGAGCCAGTGGGCACAAGTCTCCGGAACATCCGACTGTTCCTTGCTGAGGAACGTAGGAGACGCAGAAAGCTGAAAATTAAATATTTTTTAAAGTTGTGGTTAATTATTCCAGATACCATTGAACGCTGCAATCATCTTTTTGATGTTTTCCACCGAGATTCCACTGTGACCCTTGGCCAAAATGTTGATGCGAAGAGCCAAAAGCATACGAGCTCTGTTTGGGGCAAGTGGTTCTCCATAGCCAGTTGCATGGGAACGAATCAGGTTCAATTGGAGTTTCTTGATCTTCTCCGGTGGAATAGTGACATTGGAGAAGGTTCCGAATCCAGTGGTGATTCCATAAACTGGTCTATGCTCCGAAGCGATCTTTTCCAAGAAAGTTCTAGCCTTCTTGATTTTGACTTCGGCTTCCATGGATAGCTGGATCGCACATTCTCCCTTTTCACATCTGACAAGATCCTCTGGTAGGAGACTGTTACCATCCAAGATGATCAGCTTGGTAGGGGGTGCCAAAACCATTGGGGCGAGAGCATCGGCAAAGGAGACTCTGAAAAAGTTTCTTTTAAGTTTGGGGAGAAAGAAGAATACCAACTTTCTCCTTCGATTGTCAATTCTATCCAACTCGGCGCGAGCATTGTCGATTTCTTCTTGCTTCTTGGCTTCCTTAGCATCCTCGGTTTCTTCGACATTAGCAGCAACGATAATGAAGTCACTATCCTTAAGAACATCTGATACTAGATCTTCAGGATCCAAAAGAGAGTTTCCAATGGTGCGTCGGACTTCAAAATAGTTATCAGCCAAAGGAAGTTTAGGACGAAGGCGACGAAGCTTCTCAACGGACTTTCGAGCAACCTGAAAGATGTTACAATAGAGATGTGAAGCTTTCAAGTAGGCTTACCGAATGAACAGTATCTTCTGGCTTGCATGGCACAACCAAACATTCAGTACCAATTTGAACTTGGAGACGCATCTTGTCGCACACCACCGTCGGCAACGACTGTTGAATCTCGAATGAGGCAAAGATGGGCGGGCAGTGTTGGATGGTCACGTCTTCACCGTCGTCCTCTTCGGGTTGCACCTTTTTACGGCTGTCGATAGTCATCAAAACTGAATGGGAGTACTGTTTAGAAGATGATGTTGAAAATGGGGTCGGTGTGGTTATCACATGGCTCTATTAGATCCAATAAAATAAACGAGAAATCGTTTAATGAAGGAAGAAAGTAGAAGAAGGAAGGAGAGACAATCGAAACAGCCAATTAAAGTTTTTTTTTGTTTAATTAGTTCCCTTTGATAGATCAGAATGAACGTTTGATTTCTCACAGAACATTTCATTGAAATTATCAGAATCTGTTACAATGAAATTGGAAAAATAAACTTTTAACAATCAGACAAGAAAAAAAAAGGTGATGCCGTTGTGTCAGGTCCTATCAAAAATGAGTCGTACGGCTCGAAAAGCGTTCCATATCAGTGATTTTTTCCCACTTTTTTTGACGTTTCTATTCAGGTGATAGTGATGATTATCAAGCGACACTCGTTGGTACGGCGAAAAAAATCGGAATGTGTGTGCGGCATAAAAATTGAGACTATCAGGCAGTCATGATGGGTCGACGAGCAGTTTTGACAGGTCTGAATCGATTTTCACAAGTTTTATGGTGCATTTTTGGTTGTTTTCAAGGTCCGTGGTCTCGACTGTTTTAGCTCAAAGGGCTCTGACGTTTTCGAGGACGTTTCTGAAATGAGATTCCAGAATTTTTACACATACAGTATCGGTCAATAAGATATCGTAAACACTCTAAAAGAACGCCACCCAAATTGTAAAATTTGAGCTCATATTTCATTTTCTGTGAAAGATATCGAAAAGTGGGAAACTAATAAAATGTTGCTTATATTATGCTAAACATTTTATTAGTTTACAACTTTTTGATATCTTTCAGAAGAATTGAGATATATAGCTTCAAACAAGGACGGTCCGGGTGGCGTTCCATTAGAGTGTTTACGGTATACAAGAAAAAACCTATTTTTCCGTTGGTTTTTGGCGATTTTTACTATTTTCAGGAGTATGAAGCTCTGCTATCAAATTTCCGTCAATTTAAAATTTTGGAGAACGAAACAAGTAAAGATGGAAAACTTTGCATTCTCAGTATTTTGCGAAAATTCCTAATTTTTCATCTATTCGCCGATTCCTAAAGGCACGCCTTTTTGATCAGTTTTTGTACTACAGAAAATATTTTTTTCCATTTTTTCATACATGATCGGGTCCAAAAAAGTGTCTTTCAGCAATCGGCAAAAAGCTAAAAATTTTCAAAGAGTTCTGTAAATGCAAAGTTTTCGATCTCGGTCACACCCTCTATAAACTTGAAAGTGATTGGAAATTTGACAGACGCTTAAAAATATCAAAATAGCCAGAAATCTACACCTTTGAGAGTCTTATTTGAATTTCACAAGTTTTAGGTGCTTTTGTGGTTGTTTCAAGATTCTTATGTCTATAACAATGCCGCCACATTTATCCTTGAATATTCTGTTTCGTTAATCCTTTGATATCACCTTCCTGCAGACACTTTACAGCTCTTTAACTATGCCGCCAGAAATAGGGATGAAACATCAAGAGACAAGGTGCGTCATTGATCAGATTCTGCGCACTAAACTTTTATGATAGCCAAACTCCTCGGGACGGAACAAAACACTCCTCGTTGATGACCCGAGGATTCCAATTCGTTTTCTCATCATCCGTATTTTATTACCACGTGGGGTTGGGGTTGGTGATTTCGTCATATCACTTGACAGTCCAGTCATTGATTCTAGAACTAGTTGGATGGTTACCTGAACAACACATTACAGTTACAGTTACGATTCAATTACTTTTACTTGACAAGAAATGGTTACTACCTGGTTTGCAGGGGCCAGGTTTCATTTAGCGGGGATGGAGGGGCAAAAAGCGGGAGGGGGAATAGAGGGGAAAACTAATAACGTACTCGTTACCAAAATTAAATTCTACTTATAGAAAAAAAAGAGAGCTTACAAAGAAAAATTGCATTGCAATGACTAGGAAATTTTCCAGTGACATTTTTGTATGTAAGAAGCGAATGGGTTACAAAGAATGGAGAACCAAAAGGGGGGATTAGATAGAGAGCTCGAATTTGACATCGACATTGGTGGCACGGGCAAGATCGACAATGTTGGAGAGCTTCACGACCATCTTGGCAGCTTCGTCGAGGTTATCGCAAGGAAGGATTCTGAGTTGAGAGGTAGCAATGAGAGCCTTGGCGTCTTCGACCTTTGTTCCTGAAAAAATCAATTTTTGTTTTTTGATGTCACATTTTGTACGTTTTGTCTGTTATCAGACATATTAATTTCTACTAAACTGTCTGATCACAACTATACAACAAACCTTGCAGTCTGACAACAATTGGAATCTTGAGGTCCAACTCTCTGGCGGCTTGAATGATTCCTTGAGCAATGACGTCGCAACGCATGATTCCTCCGAAGATGTTGACGAGAATTGCTGAGACCTTGTCCTTGTCGGCGGTGATAATCTTGAAGGCTTCAGTGACTTGCTCAACGGTGGCACCACCTCCGACGTCGAGGAAGTTGGCTGGTTCTCCTCCATGCAACTTGATAATGTCCATAGTGGCCATCGCGAGTCCGGCTCCGTTCACCATGCATCCGA